ATTAATAATGAACTCTGAAGATGTTTCTTAACAATTTCCCCTAATTTCATATTAATTGTCAATCACAGTATAAATTTATGTTTAATTTTTCCCTTGGTACTGTTATGTAAAAAAAGTACTCTTTTTGGGGGCATGAGAAAAAATAACCTAAATAAATTAACGCTTTTTTCACATTTGCATTGGTTGTTTCTCCTTGACTTAACCTATCCTCCAGCTCCACATATTTAACAATATAAACAGTATTATTTTGGTAATATCAATAAAAATGAAAGAAACAGGGTGATATGCATCCCAAAATTTCCGTGTACCAACCATTTTGGGCAAGAGTGTATATGTCTGCCTTAATTTTGTTTCTTGGCAAATATAGATTTTGACGTAGATTTATCAGTGCATCATTTGCCACTATTCAACGTTGGAAACACGGAATCTGAAATTATGAATATTAAATTTTGATAGTTAAACTTGAGAGCATGGGAAACACTTAATAGTGACGCAAAATGAATTAGGCGAGTCATTTGCTTACGGAGCGCCAATCCCCATAATAGTACATCTCTAGGCGTCCAGCATTGGATGTATTTCCACCAATTAGCCTTAGGGAACCATCCAGGGTTACGATATCTCTATCACACGCAATCCATATCGCCTGTAAAATTAATGTACAAGAAGCCCTTTTTAAAATTACGAAGAGGAAAATCGAACAGAGCAAAAATGATTAATGTATAAATTATATTTTGCTGCCTTTTACAAAGATTCTAATGTTTCACTTCACGGATGGGTGTAATATTGACCTATAAATGCCGATGTCATTATCCACGATAATGTTCTTATCTGCACTGATAGATTGTAAGTTTATGTTGTTTACAATAGGAAAGATACCATTTTTTCTGAAACAGGTCTTAAAATGTTTTTTTTTTTTTACTTTTTAAAAGCAAACTCACAGAACTATCAAAGCAGGTTGTGGACGGACTTCCCCAGGGATCGTGCGTGCAGTCTGTTATGGCACTTTCATTTCCCGTGCATGAAAGCCCGGAGAGGACAGCACCGTTAGAGGGCACACTTCTGCTCGCCAAGACAGTCCCTCCTAGATGTCCAAGTTGTCGGCAAACGACACGAGCGACGTTTGTAACGTCGTTAACGGTGTTTGACCTTGCGCAGACGACACCCCATTTCCCGCCATGATGCGATTCCAACCGTCCTGTCGTGGTCGTTTCCCCGTGCGATAAGCGTACCATACCCACTGAGCCCGAGGTGTCACATACAACACCCGCGTCTTCTGTATGGGTTGTGTAATCACATGTTCTAGCATTCCAACCTATAAATGCAATGTACAGACAAAATATATAGCAGAGGTGCAATATTTAAGTACTCAGATCCTCTAATATCTGTATAATATGACGAGGCCCCCGCTACTAGAAAAAAAGCTGACTTTAGGGCAGTCTGCCTAAATGAATTTTGCTGGGGAACAAGAAATTCACTTATAAAGAACACTTCAAAATTAAATAAGCACGCACCTTAATGAAGTGACAAACGGCGATGGGGACCACCAAACAAAAATAAAAATATCCAGGGAACGCGTCGAAAATTAATGAAGACAGAAACCGTGAATTCTAAAAAGGAGAAATGAAACACTATTACATTTAATACTTCCCGTCAATCATTTACAGTGGACCCATTATGTCTTTAAGTAAGAATAGAGCGCAAAATTCTGCCTACCTGAATGGGCGCACGCTCTGATAGAAGGCTCCTGTCCTGTGCACTGAAGTGTGGACAGCCACACGTTACCTCTGCCAGGACCGTAGAAACTGCCCAATTTCGGGAATTCCGCCCCAACGTAACCTGAAACAAAATAAATAAAACGACTGTAAAACAGGTGCATAATTTCATGTGCCAGAGAACAAAACATTAGATCTGGGATTGTAAACATGTTCCCATGCATTTTATTCCTTTACGTCAAACTGAGTGCACAGGAACATTTTGCAGTTTTTTTTTCTTCTACTTATTTACTATCCTGCATGTACATAAAAAAATTACAAGTAACCTGTTACATACGCTATTGTCAATTCATAGCTTCACTATTTACCTAGTTCTCTACACACTACATCTGCATCAGCCTGGTCGAAACCGTCGTCACAGACGGTGCCCCACCTCCCGTCATGGAAAATCTCTATTCTCCCGGCAAAAGAAGCGGGGCCTCCTCGCAAACGGACGTCTGCTTTGGGTCGAATTTCTGTACCTGGAAAAGGGAAACACACAATTGCAATGCTGATAGCTTTCCGTACTCTAAATTATATGCCAAAACTCATACAAATGGGTTTACTTCCGATCTTTATGCTTTTATATATATATATATATATATATATATATATATATATATATATATATATATATATACCTTTCACATTTGATATTTTTGTCATCTGCATGCACACGTCTACTATTCAGAGCATCTTTTCACGGGAAGTAAGGTAAGTTATAAGAGCACTGTTAGTAATATCCAATTCTTACTTTTCACATCTGTGGAAATTTTACTATTATTTTCTTCTACTATATATTTATTCTTTACACATGTCTCCTTCTTCGGGGACTTCCCAAAAATATGAAGAAATAAGGACAGACTAGTTTTATCATTAAAAAGTTCTTACCTTGATCTAATGTGCATCCGGGAGAAAAAGACACGTCATCAACGGCCATGTCACTCCGGGGAGCTCCCGTCAATGTGCCAATAAGCAGAACCTAAGATAACCAAAAAATCTTTGAATTTTTTTTAAATTTATACATAGACCTACGCATCATACAAACACTGAGTAAAAAAGGTAGACTAATTTGTTCAAGTCACATTAAAACTGTTAAGTAAACTACTGCACTTAATGGACGCAAAATTTGAAGTGAAACACGCTTTTGACCTAGATAAAGAAAGCAAATGAATTCTTATGAATAAAAGTAATACTTTGTTAAGTAATACCATGCAATCTCCTTATTGAAATGTCGTCAAGTAGACATTTTGCAGCGGTTATCCCCATTAAAACAAACAAGACTTGTCCGAAAATGTTTATTTAGAAAGCAAGTATTAACTTATCCAGAGCCGAGCCACGCCCCTAATTTTACCACTTGTAATAAAACCAATTTGTACACACACCCATACACGCAAACACACGCGCGCGCGCGCGCTCACTCTCTCTCACACACACACACACACACACACACACACGGCAAAGTAATGTTAGGACTTACTCGGAATTTTGCAAAAGTCCCAAGATCCACGGCAGCAAAGCGCCACCTATCCCCCCGGTCACCATTCAAGCTCCACCTCTGAACGATCTGGGCAAGATTGTTCATGTTTTGTACGCTGATGCTTAATGTTCCCATGTTATTTCCATACATGTGGTAAAAGAAGCGTATCTGTATATGGAAAGAATCTATTTATTCAACATGACCATATACTGGAGTTGGTATAATAGAAAATACCTCGAACCAATTTAGGTTTGGTTGTTTTTCATGTCCAGATAATTGCTGTTTACACATACACAGCATTTTAGGCCTAAATTCGAGAGGCCAGCCCACGATTTCAATCCCTATAATACATTTCTTACATTAAACCTGAGTGTCAAAATGATGAAAATAGGCCTACAGGTGTCTATCGAAAGTTATGACTAAAAGAAATTGTGAGGGGGGGGGATCAAATGTTAATTTTAAACTGTCTTGACTCAACTTGAAATGTTATTTTGATGATTTGTCGAAATGACGACATTAGACAATATTGACAATATTGATATTAGACGGGGAAGTTTGACGAACACCTACACTTACCTTGCATACACCGTTTGTATTGAATATCTCACTTTTCAACACAGCCCTATCCCCACTTTGGCGAGGATTTGACGCCTCGGTATACATATACTTTCCTGAAACGTGACGTTTGTAATATTGTTATTTTAAAATGGCACACTTGAATTTAAAGCATGTGTAAACATGGTCATTTCACATTATTCATTTCCATAGATTGCCAAAGTGAAACCGGGCCTTTGCCATTACAAGAATAAAAAAATTCAAGGGAAAAGCTAAAAAAAATCACAGTTCTCTTATCAGCATTATCAGCAGTATGATTTTTACCTTGGTCATTTTTTAATGAATGGTCGTAGCTAGGTCCCGTTAATGTGGTTCGAGTTTCCCCAGCACGCCGCGTCCACTCAAACTGACTCTTGCTTGCATCGTGCCCCCAGCCACAGAGGTCAGTTTGGAAGTCGCATCTTGACCCTTGGTTTAACACAGAAAGGTTTGCCTTAGCTCATAAACATGATTTATAAGATCAATACAAATTTAAGTTACGTTTTTCGATTATAAAATTCAATAAGTGTGCGTCTTCGTTTGTGTGTGCGTGTAGGTGTGCGAGTGTGTGTGTGTGTGTGTGTGTGTGTGTGTGCGTGCGTGCGTGTGTGTGTAAGCAGGGGAGAGACATAGAGAGGGCAGACTGGGAACACTCACAACCAGCACACTGTGCTTCATCAGAGTCGTCAATACAGTCTTTATCATAGTTGCAGACTTTATCCTGGGACACACATTCCCCGCTACCACACCTAAAGTCACTGGCTGAGCAAGAGGGCGTGCCACCTGATATCATAAAACAGATTTCATGTAATTTTACAAATAAAAAGTCTTAATGCTAAATGCCTGTACGTTTGTACATGTAGTTGTTTTCGGTTTTTAGAAATATAATGCCCTAAAAAATCGACCATTAATATGTAGGCCTATTACAGATGTACGAAATACCCCCGGTATGTGCATCGCTGAAAAAGGGGCTTACATGATGGGGAAAGTGCCCCGCAAGTTATGTATGTTTTCATATTTCGACGTACCTACGGTGCAATCACGAGACAGCGTGACGTCATCAAGGTAAATACCATTACTTCCCGTGCCTACAGCGCCATCTATCAACACGGCACTGCTCTAAGATATAAAAATGGTTATTGAATAATAGGTGTAAGTTTCAACACTTTCATGCGTCATCATCAGGTGCAAAGTGATATAATACGAGACTTTAAAATATTTTACTTATCGGCTACTCAATGATTTCACGTTCTTTATAAAGCAATCCCCAAACCGCGTTTACCATGAACGTGCGAGTATACAGCTCCCTCATAATAGTTCTTTGTAGCTAAAGCATTATAATCAGACCAAAAAAAAAATCATATCAAATGTAACCATGTAATTGTTATAAAATATACATGGACATACAGGGGTTACCGGTCCGTGCGGAAATAGATTGAACCTGGCTAATGTCCAATCACCACGCCTCTGTGTGTGTACGGCCCCTACGTCGTAGGTCAAGGCGTCCGCAGTTTTAACCCTTACGGTAATACGATCTGATGCTGCAGGTTTGAAATAGTAGAAGGACAGCTGGAATATAGAAATATATAGTAACATATAGTAAAGTATTTACAAGAAAAAATAACAAAAAGATTAGTGGAATATTATATATAAAAGATTATACATTACTTAATAAATCAGAAACACAGATGCATACTCAAGGTATGATGACAATTTCGTTAAAACAGAATTTCAGTACAAGTTGTACAACCGTGAAAAAATCGGATATGTCGCAAATTTTAAGTAATATCTAATATATGGCACATAAAGCACTGATTTAGCTGCATGATATTGTTCGAAGTTTCAGAAACAATTTTCAATCATATCAAAAATTATTACTACCGTGCATGATGTTGAATTCACTTTCTGCGACAAGGCGAGTGAGCCGACGTCATTGGCGTTGCCTGTAAGCCTGAGATAATAGTTATCTGGAAAGAATGTTAAAATTACACGAAAAGACAGAAATTAGCCTTTAAAGTTACTCATACTAAGATAGATTAAAAATACATTCAAACCCCAAAAGAGTTAAAACTTGTGTACAAACTATGAGCGACCAAATTCTGGCCAGGACGCTAAATGGTCACCAAACGCTGAAAGTCGTATTTCTATGTAAATGCTCAAGCGAACTGAGTGCTTCGTCGAAAGCCCAAATCAGATACTTTTGGTTTCTGCTTCCATTGTACAAATATTGATGACCTATGAACAATGTTTCAGCAACCGCAAAGACCAACATAACGCATCGATTACATGTCGACCACTGAGCTACCATAGTGCATCTATGCTGCAATGAACAAATGCGGTCTCTAAAATGAGCCACCTTTGAGCATCCAATCTCCTCAGCGACCTTTGAATTACTGTTTTAGATATCATGTTTAAATTTCTGAACACCATGTGTACCAAGTCTGAACGATCATCCTGGGGAATCATGCCTTAAGCTTCAAACGGCAGCCATGATAGTTATATGTATAAAGGGGTATAAGAGAAAGTATATAGAAGTGTATGCAATTGACGAGATTCTCTTTTTCTCTCTCTCTCTCAACCCCCCCCCCCCCCCCCCCACCACACACACACACACACACGTATATACAACCTACTTATGTCTCCCCTATGATCCCCTCTCGGACCCAGCTGTCCAGAAAGGTCTCCTCGTGTTCTTGTCCAGTTCAACTTTTCATTGCCAAGGTTTATCCAGTTGCAGAAGTCTGTCTCAAAGCCACATCGCCCGGCGTAAGTGACTTTGACAAACAAAAGATTTACATCAAAAGAGTGAGAAATCGACATAATTCATTGCGAGTAGAAGAAAGAGTAGAAATATTACACATCTGTATGGAATAATTCCATTACCATTGTCAAATATCCAAATGTTTTATCTGTTCACCAAACGTGTATAACTATTATAAATACTGAAACAGTTTCATGAATATCAATTCATAGTACCACTTACCACAATTTGTTTCGTCTGAATTGTCTCCGCAGTCGTCAGTGAAGTCGCAGACATCTTGTAAAGGAATGCATTTCTGGTTGTCGCACGTGAACTCGGTATATTGGCACTGTCTTTTGTAGTCTAGAATAGAGGTTATTCTTTGCGAGTATATATCAAATGTAATCATAATTTGACTGTTATATTTTGAAACAAAAAAGGTTTCATTGATAGACAAGACCCCATATGATACCTTGTTATTTGCGTTTTTTCACATTTTTCAATTGGTTTTTGATTTAAAATGATGGTATCCTATAACACCTGTTACATGCACTTCCCTTCACGGAAAAAGAAGAATGCCCTTCTTTCGAAGTTCTTGGGGTATTTGCAGAAAGTGTCATTCGTTCTTAATATTTTACAAAGGATAATTCTTACATACCAGTAAACTGAAAGCACTGTCTCCAGTTCATGTTGATATTTATTTGTGCTTAGAATCCTTTTTTGTCATCCTATTGTTGATAATCTCGCAAACGATAGATCTACGTTTCGATTTAGTTGACTCTCAGTTAAGGAAATTGTATTTGCAATTATAATTAATAACTTACCAGGATTTTATAATTTGGATTTACACGATAGTATTATAACTCTTTTGATTCAATGTATATCAAAAATAAAGACACATTTCCGCATAATTACGACAATATGCAAACATATACTTTCATTATCATTATTATATAATATTACCTGTAAAGACCAGCCATAATATGTCAGTTGGAGCATTAGTGCAGGCGACTCTCTCTCTCAAACACACACACACACACACACACACACACACACACATATGACACACACACACACACGTATATAAACCTAAAAATCTTTTGACTCAATGTGTAAGAAAAATAAAGGCACATTTCCGCATAATTACGACAATATGCAAACATTTATTATCATTATCATTATTATATAATATTACCTGTACAGACCAGCCATAATATGTCAGTTGGAGCATTAGTGCAGGCGACTGTCGTTGAAGGGCAGAGAGACAGCGAAGATTCCGTCCCAGTACAGCGTGGGGACCACGTCAACGGCTGAGCCACGGATCCTGGTACGTCAACAGGTGTCACCACCGTGCCTGCGTTGAACCCCAAGTCCCCGCAGATAACTAGAGTGTTGGCCTGCGTCCAGCCAGCGCTACAGACAGTGCCCCAGCGCCCGCCTGAGTATAACTCCAATCTCCCAGACGATAACTCGGATCCGTACGATAATCTTGCTGCGTTTTCAACTGAAAATGATAAATTGTTATATTAGGAGGTTGTGCATGTATCAGTAATCATTCGAAATTGGTTAGAATGCCACAGGTTACATATTGATCAAATCGATCTTAAATGATGTGTTAAGCCATAGTAAAAGAAACATGACTGAAACACCGAATGCAATCAAATAAGAGCAATGCGTCTTTTTCACTTAACAAAGCCTAAAAAGAATATATTATCCAATCAAACTGTTTATAGATACCTATAATTTATTCTAATCAACCTGATGATACCACATTGAGAATTCACATTTGTCATTGCATTTTTAATTTTTTGTGTAGGTGCTGATACATTTTATATAACTTGGCTTGCATGTTCGCTTGAAAAAAAAAATGGGTTGCAAATTGTCGGTTGCTCTGCCAATGTGACCTTTATAATGATCATCGCATATGGTGAGAGCATTTTAGCTATTCCATCAACATGTACATATTTATTGGTGTTTTCTATGTGAATTGACAAATTACATTGCTTTCAAAGAAAAGGAGAAAAATGATTAGGAAATGTACAAAAGGAAAAAGGGAAAGCAAACAAAGGAATAATATAAACTAAAAGTATTAAAATAAACAATAACATTAGGAGAAAGGAAGAAAAAAATTAAAAATAAATCAAGGTAAGTTTATTCCTACACATTTAATTTATAAACAGAAGCAGGGGCGGTTTCACAAGACGGCCACATCCAGAAAATGAGTATAAACTTTGAAAAAATTATGCCCAATTTAGAACAAGTAGAACACTTAAACAAAGCAGGTGTTTCTTTTGACGGTTTTAATACCGATTTATCTAGATTCAAAGTGGACAAATAATTGGTCAAATAGTTTTCGGGGTATACGAGTTGTTCTTTGTAAAACGGGTTCCTATTCTTACCTTGAGGCGTGCATTCAGGTGCAAAGACGATGTCATCAACCGCAATGTCTCCTTTATAACCTGTGCCCACCACCGCTTCTATTATGACCTAAGTTATAGAAAAAGATGTCTTAAAATTCTAACAAATGTTTGGAATCATGTACTTTTGGAAAGTACAAGAGAAGGGCAGATTTATTCAAGGTTCTCATAATAGTCATATTAACAAGAGCCTTTAAATAAACAATAGCACATGCGAACGAAATTAAACTTCACAGAGAAAAATGTTTTTAAGTTGTATGTTTAATATTGCAAACTGAATTCAGACTGGGGAGATCTAGTCCTTGATTGTAAATCTATGTAACCTGTATAGGAGAGTATACGTATTTTATTGAAAAACGAGGAAGTTCATAGCTTTAGATTTAATAAATGGAAAGATTTAGTTCATATATATCTATCTTGCTGCTTGGACTAAGTTTAGAACCATGGTGTTTTATAAGATATACTTGTTCTGTTTATATAAATACGCACGTTATTTACAACATAAGATGACTAGTAGTGTGTTTCAGTTTGCACTTACCGATATGTTGCCAGCTTTAGGTAAGGTGACTTCCCCTAACAGCCATCTTCGTTCACGCTGTGTTCTGTGTAGAAGTCTGGTCTCAGTACTGTTCGCAATGATATATACATTTAGCTGGTTTGTATCTTCTCCGTACATGTAATAGTAAAATGAAAGCTGGAAGGAAAATAAATGATCAATTGATAATTTAGTCAGGTTTAAGCTTTTCATCACTTTAAGCTTTGACAAAGTTTGAAACCATTTTGTAAACAGAAGTATACTGATTACGTGAATAAGTATTATTTTAAATATCCTATAATATTTTTCAAATATAAAACTTCACAGTAATAATTGCTCCTTTGTTATCTTAGTAAAAACGAATCTAGATCACGAATGCATCGTCAAATGATGACCGAATTAAAGGAATCTTTAAAACAAGGAAGTAATCTATATATACCTGTGTACTAATAGCTAAGATATTTTACAATAACAGTAACAGTTTTTAAAAGGAAAGAACTCGGTCTGTGGAGATAATTGTCTTGCAAAGATCGTAGTAGAATAAATTGGATGGAGCCTAATGCGATTTCAAAAAATGTGTAATTTGGCGGATCTAGTTTGAATATTTGAATCAAAAGACCTCCGGGGCTGTAGTGGAGAAGTGCAGGATTTTCTAAATCATCGATGAATCAATCCAGGGTCAAATGTCGCTCAGTGGTAGAGGAACCCCTCCCTGAGCTGTCTCCACAGGTAACGGTCCTAAACCTGGCTTGGCCAGGTGGGTCCTAAATGGTAGTGGAGGTCTTCCGTCCATCTGGTCTTTGGTCAGCCCCGCTGTCTTGCCCATCGCCTCGAAGTTCACTTTATTGTTTTGGTGGTCCAGCGGTTGAAACAACAAAAATATCAATAGTACACACTAAAAGTTAAAATGTAGGAAATGAGGACATTACATAAAATACAAATAGTGTTTACCTTGCACTCGGTTGTTGTGGACGGTGTGAAGACTGCACTCTCTAATCTCGCTTTTTCTCCGTAGTTTGACCCAGATGTTTCCAAGTAGATATAATGTCCCGAGGCTGAAACGGTTGATTAAGAAACTTTAATATACTAGAATGCCAGTGTACCAGGGGATAAAGTGAGATCATGGAGAAGCCCCCCCCCCCTCCCCCACTGTTTCCGTCCCCCGGCCGTACATATTCCTTACAAAAGAATACCATTTTTTATACTGGAAATCCAGGTCTTCAGCCATCAATTTAAACAAACTCCCTTAAAAGTAGTATTTTTGATCCATGCCAAAAGCTGTACAATTAAAGCTGGAAAATGTATTAGGAAATTGTGTCAGACAGAAAAATAAAACCACATTTTCATCACCAAACTGAAACACGAATAAGCTCTTAAGGAAAACTGCCAGTAATATATCTAAAAGGAATCTGCTGGAGACATTATTGAAATGAGTCAGACCTTCCAGCACCAATGTACATTATTTTGGTCAATTTTTTTAATACAACGACGCTTTAACAGAGCATTTTATTCCCGATGTTGTACATTCTACATTATATATTACATTGGCTAAATCTTAGCCTTAGTGGTAGAATACCTGGCAAAAGTGCCCGAGACAGACAACGAAAGACCTTCCTTGACAATTTTGAATTTCCAACAAGACACCTTTGGTCAATGGCGAGAAACAGAAACCTTTGGCAAAATATCAATGTTCGTCAAATGAACAAGAAAATTGAAGAAGAAGATTGGTTACATATCTCATCTTATTTTAATCGCTAATATGGGGTTTTCCATCTTTGATTGTTTTGCCAGCGTTATCAGGCTACATACTAGAACAACAGTGTACTTACTCAGCAGGAAGATTGGCCCGTTCCCAGGTTACAATCTTGAGATGCCATGATTTATCGTACATAAATTAGATTACGTCAACTATTACAAATTGTTAAATTGGGTAAGATTAGGGAGGGAAGGTGAAAAACAACATGTATGCATATCAAGAGTAATAAATGATCACCTTCCTTCTCCAACATATAACAAGATTATGAAATCTACATAGATCATATTGAAAACAGAACATTTATCAAACTACAGAAATTCTATCAGTATATCAGTGACTTATCGGTGCATAGATTGTCATGGAATCACACCATTTTTTTCCACAGATAGCAACTACGTTTAATGCACCGTTGCTGTTCAATGGTACTTCCCCCAAAATTAAACATCTTATTACGTGATAGTTAGAGATAGCATTGAACAAATTAGAATTGAAAACATTTTGCTGATTGCTGACGCAATACGCATAAAAAAGACGTTAACGCAGGTTATTTAATGCGCTATTTCTCGTATTCTTGATTTGGAAATAATTAGTCCACTAGACTTTTACAACACTTACCGTTTTGATAAGTATGGTCGGCGTCAGGCCCCGTGTCGGTGGTCGGGGTGGGACCTTGACCAATTTTCCAGTCCAAGTTGTCGTTATGTACCTGCAGCCATGTGCAGAACATGCCAGACTCAAAGGAACACGGAGGGGGGGTCACGGCGCCTAGAAAATACAGGATAACAATTTTAATTTAAAAAATAGTATGGGGTTGTTTCATTTTCACCGAACACCTCATCAGCTGTGTTATACACTTAAACACTTTCAATCAAAAGCTACGCAGATAAACTGGCGAAGCTGCACCTTAAATGTACAAGGCCTATATTTCGATTCAAAGACAACACGTTCTCTCTCCCCCTGTTCCTCTCGTCATCGCTGAAATACATGTAACTTACTTTGAAGCAGAGGGAATGTATAAAAATATGGCTCCCCGATCCATGATACACCTTTTCCCACAGATAAATTTCAGAAATCATTTCCAAACGTTCAAAATCAAAAATCAATAAGCAACCACACGGCACGAAAAAAAGCTCTGATCAAGGTTGTTCGGAACGTAAAAGTGCTGTATATAATCACTGGAAATTATACACAGAAATGTTAAAACTGTTTACACTTAAATTACAGAACGGGTTGTCTACCCACTAAATACAAGTATATGCCATAACTGTAGCGAAACTCTCCTGTCATTCATTCTTGTCAAATAATTCCTCGATAAGAAATACAGTATAAACCTTTATGGCAGATAATTTTACAAACTTTGGAGATGATATGGTAAACTTTACGCCCGTGGTCAAGTCCGATAGGATGTCTGTGCAGAATGTGGACATGGAACAAATGCACCTACCCACCTGTTGCACACAGTGCTACTGTCAATACTAACAATCGGACCTGTGCTTTTTTGACTCCACAAAGCAGCATCTTCGCCAAAGCATAAAATAAAATCCTAACTTCAACTACAGTGTGCTTTGTGAGTATATGAACATGGTATTTTTTTAAATCGTGGCTTTATAAATGGTTATCAGTTGTGCTGTTTCCCGACGTACCATATTTGCGTAGCTATGAGGAACCAGAGATAAGGGTTATTAATGGTGGTTAAGGTCAGCCAAGGTCACGGGCAGGCTAAATCACTTCAAACGGTCGATACCTTCAAAACATATATAAATTATAACTAAGGTAATATTAATATGAAACGATGCCTTTTCGCATTTATCAAAGTTTTACTATTTGAAATTTTATGGTGGCATTTGGTCGGCTTCTGTGGCAAAAATTTGACTTCAAATGCATTTTTAATATGCTGTGAAATATTTTTACTACGACGTGTAAGAACTTCTGTCTTTTTTCTTCAATTAAATCACGACATGCTGGTTGGCCTTCTAGATACGATATCACGAGTTGACTGATCACTAAATAGTCATATAATAATAATAAATTTAAACAACCAGTTAAACACAAAAACTTACATTTAGATAGCCAATTTAGATAGCTTGAAAATGTATGCTTTTTAAAAAAATTATAAATTTATAAACTACATTAATGTATTTCAATTTTATCGCAGTTCTTGAAGCTGTATGTAAGATTATATTTCAACGCCTTTTGTTCTTCTTTTTAAAGGAATTTTATCAGTTTGTAGTTTTATTACTACGTCCATCAATAATTTACAAAATGAATAGTAAAGTATTAATATACGACAAATTTGCCGAGTAGGACCAACATTGATAAGGGCAGCGTGGCTAACATTGCAATTTTACCTCAACCATTCTACAGTACATGTAATTTATACCTTATACAGAATTGATACTGTTCCTAATGGGCTTGTTTTTCGAAAAAAATTTTATGCGTGTAATGGTAATTTGGCCATACCTCCAAAGGTAACTAATATAATGGCTTAAATCGGTTAAGTGTACCGCTTGATATGAAAAAGTCTAACTAGCCCGTCAGGAAGAGCCCATAGCTAAAAATTGGGTGACCAAGGTACATTTATACATGCATCATGTGAAAGCTCAGTAAGTCAGAAATCAGTTTCTGTTTGGTAGTTCATGTACTTCCAAATCAGTAGCTTTATTATGCAGTGGCAGATTTGGGGGGGGGGGGTCAGGGGGAGTCCTGACCCCCNNCCCCCCCCCCCCCCCCCCCCCTTTGATTTCTGGAAAAAAAAATCACACCAATGGTCCCCTCTTGAAATTAGAATTTTGACTAGCTGAATCATAGCTCTAAACACTACCAAAGAGCACCGTTCGCCCTCTAAAATACCGAAAATTTTCGGGGCCCTGAACCCCACGCCAGTGGAGGAAGGGGGGTAAGCTTCGCATCCACGCCCCACGCCCCCCCCCCTTCAAATAATCCTGGATCCGCCCCTGCTTATGTATTACCATTATATAACACCTTGTTGCTTAAACGGCTGGTTCTAAAAAATGGGGGAAGGTAAACATCCATAATATAAAAATAAAATAGGATAAAGCAATAGTTTATGTACCATTATGCAGCTGAAGGACAGTTCTGAAGAAGTCAGTAAAGAGTGTCTTGTAATATTCAATAACCTGTAAACAAATAAGGTCACCTAGGGTCAAATGTGAGGGAAAATAAGCCAATAAAGTTATTTCAAAAGAGAATGTAGGTCATGATTGATGGTAAATAGTTATTTCTGATAATTTCTGCCCTCATTTGGGGGATTTAATGAGATTTGACAGTTGAGTAACATGGTGTTATAAATTTACCAATTAGGCCTACATAATGAAAGCTTCTGATTTTAAAGTGGGCACTGTACAGGAACTGAATCCTGATTAAATGAGCTTTTACATGATACCAATAAACCATGGTCGCCCAATTGGTACCGACGGACCAAAATTTAGGTGTCTTGGACAAGGACTAAATGTAGGCCAGTCTTAAATAAATTTTATTTCAAATATCGCTAAAGAATAACAGTGGTTTTTGCCTGGATACTTAAATGGCTGTGATGTGCAATCTAGAATGTTTACAAAAACGCGCTATCAAATATTTGGAGAGATTTTCTTATCAACCTTTCCTTCTTATATTGATATTGACTTGAAATGGCGATGATGTTAAACAAACTAATGCATAGGACCAGGAAGATGAAAGTTTGTTTCTGATAAACGAGTGGGGTAAGATTTATTTTATGCCCCATTTCCATCTTTCTTCCTAGTCCATTGCACAATATTATGAATTCAGTATTAGGAATTCAGTCACGCTCAACATAAAGTGACCCAGCATAGGTTTTAAGCCGTTTTCAACTTTATTTAAAAATAACTCTTTTTAGTGTTTTAATAAAGCAAAACCAATTTAACAAAAATACATTTGACATGCCTTCTTTGACGCAAAGAGGCTCTCAGAATTGTGACGAGGAATGCATCTGTCGGCTTAGCTTTGGCAGACAAAAACAAAATGACATTCGCCCAATGACATTCCATTACATCGGTGTTTAATCATACCCGGCACAGCTAAAGCTCATTTCAGCTAAAGCCTAGAAAACATTTGCAATGTGTGCCATTTACATGACATCGCATACGATGTTCCGAGTGATTTTGTAAGTGGCTATGGGCTACGGCTAATTTGCTATAATTTTGTACGGGTGACAGTCATCTCTAGAATTTTTTTCGGTTGAAAAGTGATCATATGGACCAGGGGCCGTATTCTCAAAAGTTTGTAACTTACAAACCTTCGAGAATACCAACTTACGAGAAGGATCGGACTTACGTGAAAAGTTACAAGAATTTGCCAGTGCATATTGCCGTACACCCTACTTGCGTATACCATTGTCTGTGCAGCCCATCTGGTCAGAATAAGCTTTACTTAGCAAACTCACGACTTCAGATTCATGTAAGTTACTTGTTTATGGATGGTCGGCTCATGCCTTGGTTTAAATACCTCTTATCAATATAACACGATTAAGGATAGGCCCCTGGGAACGTGTGTTTTGACAGTTCCCCTAGTTAAAAGCTTATTGGACGCTCGAGATTTTTTTATACTCTTTTATTATTACAAGTATCTCTGGTTGCAAGGGAGCATAAAGTGGACCTTGGATCCAGAGTGGGCATAAGCCGACTAATGGTCAGAATAAAAAAACAAACAAAAAAATAAAGGGAAAAAATGTCGCTTTTCTTTTGAGTTCTAGGTGACCGTACGCTTTTTGGGTTCTTCAATTCCAAGTCGCGATACGTTGAATTTCTGGTCGAATTGAAGTATCATATCAAAATCGTTCATCATAACGAAGTATAGAATTTCATGTGAGTGTGTGTGTATGTGTGTGTTCAATATAATGAGGCAAAATAATCAGCAAAGAGGTTTTAAGCGACATATATGGGGTAAGTTTTAGTTTTGATAATATTTTTGAAAATATCTTCCCTTGCTCTAATATGTAATATTTGATTATGGGGATTATACATCTACTTGTTTATAATCTTAAATTCAGAAAAGTTGTCAATTTGATTTTTTCTTCATTTTGTTTCAACTTCTTGAATGATAATACGAAATAAATACATTTTCTTGTATACTTGCGTGTTCACAACTCCGTGCCTCAAATCAATTCCTCAAATCAATTTCGACTCAATAACTTTAAAAGCACATTACACTTTCTTGTAGCTCTTAAAAGAGCCAGAGGCGAATTGGCGAAGAAATAACGAATTTTAACTGCATTTCCCTATATTTACATCACTTTTTTTTTACTCCTTATATCTCCTTTCTGCATTTTGAACAAATATTTACTGTTTTATTTATTTTTTTTTACACGTGCAAACTCTTTCCAACAACGATTCAAAATTTTACACGTCAGTGTTATTGTCAGCTGATTATGTCTAGGGCACGCCTTGGATGTTTCAGTAGGCCTATATAGGGACTTCAGACGCATCAAAATCAAAACAGGCGTGGCCTCAGGAGTCGCCCAAGCTGCGTTTTGCGTTCAAGGGAAGATTTCAATGTGTTCCAAAATTCACAATAATTCACGCAGCTGGCTGTGTTCTTCATCTGATCTGCTGCTTAGCAGTTATTATTATTATTATTATTATTATTATTATTATTTTGACCCAGAGCCGCGGTCTGTCTATTCCTTTATTTGCGGGAGAGACGACGTCGCCAAACACCTGCCTGATGTGCTTTCCGTACATATGGGGAAAATGCACCAAGAATACATCAATGAGCGATGTCGCTAGGAAGTACACACACGTGTAAAAATCAGAGTCAATCTTTATTCATTTTTCAGTGATGCACACGTGTATATTACATTGGCATAGGAAAATTAATTTTTCCGCGTCACTACCTTCCGTTTTCAACTGTGTAACACTGGAGGGCATCCTTCATAAGCACTCATTAAATACAATTATAACTCTTCCTGTTGCTTCTTCTTAAAGTGCCAGAGGATATAACCTCCACAGTGACTCAACTAAAACCAAAAAACTTATCTGAGTTGTGTGGTGGGGGTGATAAATACTAAATAAGTCACACTGGTGATGCATAAATGATAATGATTCAATCTTTTCAATGGGGAAAAATTATCAATCTTTTCAGGTACATACTTTTGGTAATTATAAAAATGTTTTTTTTTCTAATAGCATGCGTGTGGTAAGTGTTTTTACTATACAGAATTGAACTATTGGGTAGACCGCTTTTAAATTTTGTAGCTATAAGTACCACTCCATAGGAATGTTCCATTTTTAAGAATTTATGAGTTGAAATAATTGTTTCTGAAAAATTCACAATTTTCCCCATTGAAAAGATTGAGTCATTGCCTTATTTCTGATATTAAGACATGATGTGACTTAAACATACAAAGTAGAGCTACTCTTAACTTTACTGCTCATGCTTATAGCCAGTTTATTTATTGGTGCTAGTCTTTAAGTAAAAGTGTAAACTTTTATCATCAAATAAACCACAATATAGTCTATTACATTTGAACCTCCCCTAACCTCTTTTTATGGGTCTTCTACTAGCATATTTTGCTTCTCTTTGTCACTTTTCACAAGACATATGTCTTACAATTAAACCTTAAATCTCTCTTTCACCTTTATCTATATTCTCCCTTCTTTTCCTCATGCTCCTTAAACTTCTCATATGACATCAAGTCCATCACACCAGCTTTTCTGTTGAAACACCGTTCATGCAGTTCTTTTAAGTACTGGACATGAAGTCTCTTGTCAAGGCTTAATCCTACTGATGGGGTAGCTGTAGTAGTGCGCTTGCCAGAATATAGAACCCTCTCCCCCTGGACAGCCAGATAGCCCTCCTTGACCAGTTCCTGGACAATGGACTCTGTGCTCAACTCAACAAATTCAGTACAAAGATAAACCAATTTTGTGACCAAGCTCGCTCCAGTTAAAATGCATGGAGATGAAGCAGAGAGGGTGCTATTATTTAAGCCTTTCAACCAAGACAAAACTCGTTCCTTTGCAGATGTTACATCAGATGACAAAAGCAGGGTGGAGTTCCTTGCCTGGGCTAGCCTGACTATGTGACCCACAGAATCGGTGAGAGATTTTCCATTAACAATTGATAAATTTATTTTCTGGCCTGTTCCTTTCTTAATGCGTTTCTCCTTCAGAACTTTGTTGAGCAGTTCAACATCAACTGGGATTTTTTGCACAAAGTGCCAACCTTTGACTTCCAACATAGCACTCACATTGTAGAAAGCTTTACAACCCATCTTGACATAATAAATTCTGCGTCCCATTCTGTCAAAGTTAACCAAAGGACTTGCTGGCCCATTCAACATCTCAAAAAGAGTTTCAGTGTTGATCATGTAGGTGACAGACGTGAAGGGCTGCAGGAATTCACTGAGCTCATCAAGGTTCTTGGGAAGACTTGACTTTGGAACCTGGTGGAGGTGAAGCAATGCAGGCAGTGCCTCTATTGTTAAGGCTGCAATCACCTCCTTGGGTACGTCACACAATACAGCAGTTTCTGGCTGAGACTCTAAATACTGTTGCAGTTTAAGTTTCAACTCACTGATGATTTTCTTCTCTTTTTTGTCATGATTGTCACCAATATCTGTTTTATCTTCAGTCATGGTCTTTCTGTATTTTGGCAAAGGAGCAGTTTCTTCAGTAGTAGAGAATCTTCTCTTAATCACATTGTGTATGAGAAAAGTATCTTTAGAACGATAAGTAGAAAATGGAGGATTTTGAATGTAAAGACTAATTGTGACACAACACATTCTGAGACATCTACCACATTCAAAAACCATACAACCTTGGTGTTCATTGGCATGGCTGGCCAACTGTGTGCCGTCAGGAAATATCTGATCACACACATGGCATATGTTCACATGATATAATGGATCAGGTGAAAAAATAGTAGTGCAAGTCGTACATGTCATCCCATAACTTGAAGGACGTGTTTCTTTCATTTTTGATTTTAAGTAATCTTTAAACACAGAACTGAAGGGATGAGTGAAGCCTTGAGATTGACTCTCCTCTGATTTTAATGAGCTGAAGAGAGAAGTGAAGACAACCCTTTCCTTCCACATCTCTATAATCTTCAGGATTTCCACAGTGGTAGCTGGCAGCAAATTGTACCTCTTTATTGTGTTGTCTTTGTTGAGTTCCAATATGCCACTTTCATACAGACTGCTCAGTATATGCCTGCTTCCATGAACATCTGTGGTCAAGGAAAAAAGTTCACTGAATTCTGCTAGATCTATTACTCTACTTGTGGAGGACACCGTTTCCTCATCAACTTCTTGGGCATGTTTTTCCTCATCAAAAAAGCTTGATAATGACAGGCTGATCATGTGAATTTTATCAAAAACATCATTTTTTCTCAACCCAGATGAAAGAAGTTTTTTTTCCGGATTATCTGAAGAAGGTAGTCCAACCTTCACCACCTTAGAATTAGTCTTTTTTGACTTTGCTTTTGTTGTCCCGTGTATTTCAGTAATTAAATCGAGAAGTTGTATGTTGGTCCGTTGTACCGAAACATGGAATTCATTGTCATTTTCAAGGGCAATACTGTTCAGGACGTCCACTAGAGGAGAAAAATACGACACTCTTGTCAGAGGTTTTAAAAAGTTGTGAAGACCTTGCAGTCGTTTTGGCCTCTCTGTTCCCAAATCTTCCAGCCTTTGAGCAGCCTTCAAAGTCAGTGGATGAAGCATTTTTGTCTCGTTGTTGCAAAGTTTCTGTGCTTAATAATATAAATCCTTTGGTCCAGACTCTTTCGTATGCAAAAAAAAAAATGTCACAGCAAAGTTGTAAATATTATTGAACGGCCAACGATTGTTTAAATCAATACATTGCAGCATATTAACACTGATTGTTTTGGTTACACCACGCTCCCCACTTCCGTTTTCGGTCTGCACCAATAGCCAATGAAAAACAATATAACAAAATTAATAGGAAGTAGGATGTCTCCAAGCTGTCCAATGAAAAGCTTGGACACGAAATTTAAACTTCTCAAAAGTTGCACGACGAAATCGCACAAGAACTTTGGAAGTGACAAGCTACATGTTTCTTTAGCCCTTGGAGGTGGGTAAATGAGATGTTTATCGGTTAATTACAAAATTAAATAATTTGGCGATTGATATAAATTTATACAAAAGGCCAGTTTTACAGGTAGGTTTTGGAATATAATTTATAATCGAAATGTCGGTGAATTGAGAAAATAACGTGAACAGGCTGAAATTTAAGTTGATTTGACTTAATTTAGAGTTCATTTTATGTACTAGTATTGTTTCAATATCCAAATTTGATATTGTATTAATTTTTCAAATTTTCAATCAATCAAACTTACAAGAGAGCTTTTTAAAATGTTAAATGATTTAGAGAGACCGGCGGCTCGCTCAACTGATTGATATATATCAAATGATCGTACTAGTATCCCTGTTTGTTTCACACCTAACGTTAATTAAGAAAATAATTATTTATAATCAATCACTGTTTGAACTAATGATGTCTATTAAATGGTATTTAATGGCAGGGTTTGATGTTGAGTGCAGTTCAAGAGTGGTGTGGTTGCTAGAATTATAGAAGCTTGATCATGGCTGCGCCGGTAGGTTTTGAATATTGACATTTAGATGAAGCGGGACTAAAGAGGCAATTTATGTAAATTTTGTTAGATTTAATGCATTTGAAGGGCTGCCAACACTGCTGCACTTTTATTTCCTTTTCAATGGAATCTGTTTTTGTTCAGTTTTTTTCTTTGTTACAACATTGTCATTGATAAAGAGATGTATTAGAATTTCAATTTTTTGACAACACTTCTGTTAGTCTTACTGTCTGCTTATTTGGCTTTGTAGATATCTTCACATTAATTCAAATCATCACACTTTTTGAACACTGTTGATTTTGCACATCCTTTGTTTACTGGTTGGTTTTAAACTGATTTTTACTTGATAAATATATGTGGCAATAAACAGAACATGAACAACAAATGGTACCAGAAAATATGATAATCAATTTTCATATGTTGTGAAGATGTAACAGTAAGTGTTTTCACATAGTAAGGAAATTTACATATTTTTGTTTCATGGTCATAAACAACATTTCTCCTGTTTGAATTGTTCTCAAATGCCTCAAATCAACACCCCACCCCCATTGTGGCAGGCAAAAGCTGTCCTGTTATACACCCCTTTTGCACTAGTTTTTTTTGCATTTAGAATATCAATATTTGTGTTGAAGTTGTTCATGTCTGTTAAAGAGTTTGCCATTTTAGTACATAGTTGTAAATTGCATGTGAAAGTAATACTAATCACTGATAGCACCTGTTCACACTAAGCTCAGATGAATCAAAAGTGTATTGGAAATGGTCCTGCTTGTGTCGAGTAGAGAGGGTACACTAGAGAGAGGTTATCTTAAGTTTAGGACTCACAGTAAAGAATTGTTACTAGGACCAAATGAGATTTGGACACTGTTGATTTGTTTTGTGCCTTGAGTGAACACGATACTACACCTGCACGTGGAAGTTTGTTTGCATGATATTTTTGCAATCCTTGTTACAGATTAGACCTCACTTTGATGGGAAAGAGAACACAACTCATACTGCGAAGGTGAATACTGATGAGTTGCTTTTCATTCAGGCAGAATTAAAAGAAAAATTGTTACTGTTTTGATTCAACCGGTTATTTATTAACTTGCTAGTAGATGGAGATGGAGTTGAACATTGTTTGGACCTTATCACAAGGCCTTCTTTGGGTGGACTGAGGTTGGGTTGTCACTGGTGTCAGTGTCACGTTGTGACAGTTTGCGTGGGTTGCTCACTAGGGGATTGAATAGGCCACCTGCAGCAAACACATTGACCTGAGATACCAACAGTGGCAACTATCAACACCCGTGGGACAAAGCCCTGGGAGACATCCTGCGCAGACTGTCACCACGTGCTAGCATGATCCTGCCAGCTGCATGAGTTAGGACCAAATGAGATTTGATGAAGTCTGCTTCAAGAGTCATTTTTACTATTGAAAAAATTAAGTAGAAGTAGACTGTTTAATTGCACATCCTGTAATGTAATGTAATGTAAATGTACTTTTAAATCTGTCTTGTCCAGTTATAGAGGGATAAGGGCATAGTTTTTGACATAACCCAAACATTCAATGACAGTCAAACCTTAAATTTCATAGAAAATGCAAAATAAATACATTCGATTAAATTTTCAAAGTGGTGTTGGATGTATCCTGACTGTATACTTTTTGAATGTCTGTTCTGTCTTTTATTATCTTCCCAACTTCTCTTCCAGACAAATTCCGTTCCTGACATGGAACCCAAGAGAGTGCTGAGAACTGTGCCACAGAATGTACAGCAGAAGCCAGCTGCCCAAGGGGAGGCCAATAAACAGGAGGGGTGAGTGGGATTATGTGGGGTTAATCAACAAAAGGATGCCATGTCTTGTTCTTGTACGGTTAAAAAGGGAATAGTTTGTACTCGATGAAATAATATTTACAAATTTTTATTGATTTTTTTTTCAATCTGACTTCAGCCCCCTTGATTTCATTCACATGACCTCCCCCCCTTTCAATTTGACCATTTTAAAACTTAATATTATTGAACCTGTGTTGTTTCCATCTTCCCTGTATTCTATCAGCAAAGTAAATTTTCTCACTTATTTTTACAATAGAATTTGTTTATATATTCTTCTTCTTCTTAAAGATTATAATTTGAAATGAAGATATTTTTTAAACTGTGGAAAAAATGTCTGTTGTTCTAAACTAAAGTTTCATGTCTTTTTTCAGAGGAAAGAAGTGGGCACTTGCTGACTTTGACATAGGGCGCCCACTTGGCAAAGGAAAATTTGGCAATGTTTACTTGGCTCGAGAGAAGAAAAGCAAATTTATTGTGGCATTAAAAGTATGTACTAGGTTGAATTGAATATAACAAAAGGGAAAGTTGTCATATGATTTTCCTGTTGCAGAATTTTTTACTCTGAATGTAATGCAAGTTTAGGCCTGCAACTTTGTTTTTTAAAGAACATGTAACATAGTACAGTTACAGTTGATTTAAGAAACAAAAGTAAAAGCAGCTTTATCTAAAAAAGACTTAAATACAGTCTATTATTAAGTGGGAAAAAGACAAAAAGAGAATCCATTGTATAAATTTTTGGTTACTGAAATGAGGAAAGATGGATATATAGTCATAGTATGTCTTGGATTGCACTATTGTGTTATTAATTTTAGATATTCACCATTTGTTTTTCCCCTATCAGGTTTTATTTAAATCCCAGCTCCAAAAGGCAGGAGTTGAACATCAGCTAAGGAGGGAGATTGAAATTCAGTCCCACTTGAGGTATGTGAGCTTAGATCCCATTCCCATAGACACCATTGGTCTATGTAGGTCGATCTGGCTCTGTGGGGACTCCTGCTGAGTGCAGTCAGCTTAACTGAATGACACACCTTCTCTTTTTTCCAACACACTTGTATTATCATCAGCTTTTATGTCCTGAACCCTGGATTTTTTTTTTTTTGCTCATTACGTATATGAAAATGTGATTTTAAGAAATGCTAAATTCAAATTCATTCATATCATGCTTTTTTTTTTTTTTTTAATTTTTATTATTATTATTTTTTTCTTTTTTTTTCTTTATTTATTTATTTATTTATTTATTTTTTTTTTTTTTTGAGAAATTTAAAAAATAATAATTCTTGCAATTATAAGGTATTGTTCTAATTGAAGTGTTAAAATTTTAGAATAAATACCATACCATATAAAAATAAGAAAGAAAAAGTACATGCCTAAAATTACTGCTTTGTCTTTCCAGACACATCAACATATTGCGGTTATATGGGTATTTCTATGATGAAACCAGAGTCTACCTTATCCTTGAGTATGCACCAAGAGGAGAGCTCTACAAAGAACTACAGAAAAATCAGAGATTTGATGATAAAAGAACAGCAACTGTAAGGAGATGTAATGTGTAAAATTCATAACTGGAAAATAATTAATTTCTTTTTTGTTAATTTTCATACATTTCTGTATGATGTTAATATTTTTCAAATTTTCTAAAATACAAAGTATATCATCTTCAGCTTTTTTTGGAAAAGAATTTACATGCCAGTGCCAACCTGGTGTATGCGCATCCATGTGCGCACCAGAATAATATTCCTCATGAAATGATAAATATAACATGGTTGTTATTCACATAATCTTTATTGTCATTTTGTAAGTTCTTTTTCGTTTCCAGTATATAAGCCAGCTGGCAGATGCCTTGAGGTACTGTCATGCCAAGAAAGTGATCCACAGGGACATCAAACCAGAAAACCTTCTACTGGGCCTCAAAGGAGACCTAAAAATAGCAGATTTTGGCTGGTCAGTGCATGCACCATCATCCAGGTAAGCCCTTCCATAGGTTTTGAAATAGATTTTGAATGTGGGGGTCAGTTCAAATCCTCACTTAGCATCATAATCTCTAAGCCGTTGCACACCACTGGGTTAGAGACTGGGGATTCATTTCTGAGAAATCGCCTAAAGCACTCTTAAATAGATGTAGATGCAGATATTTACACTTGTGCTTAATACTAATCATTCTTATTTTGGTACAATACTGTGGACTTACTTTCATCCCTCTAATTTAAAATGACAGTTTCAGTGTTCACAATTGACCTGTGTGTTAGCAACTTTTTTGAAAGCAGATATGGACCAGTTTTCCTGATACAGAAGGAAAAAAAATGATCCAGTGATTTCACATGTGAACTGTTTGTATGGTATTATTATTATTATAATTATCCTGAAAATGTGCCCAAATTAATCCATGAATCACTGATATCCTTTCTGTCCATTGATCCTATTACTGGCAATATCCCAATATGTGATCATATTCCCATTTGATTTGTTTATAGGCGTGCTACACTCTGTGGGACGCTGGATTATCTTCCTCCTGAGATGATAGAAGGAAAGATGCATGACGAGAAAGTAGACCTTTGGAGTTTGGGTGTGCTTTGCTACGAGTTTCTGGTCGGCAAGCCTCCGTTCGAGGCTGAGGGACACACAGAGACGTACCGTAGGATATCCAAGGTTGAACTCCGGTTCCCGTCCCATGTCTCTGATGGGGCTAGAGATTTAATATCAAAAGTAAGTTGAAAATCCTGGAAGTACTTTCTTTTTTTGTTTGTTTGAGTTCATTAAACATCATAAGATTAATGGTCAATGATTTTCAGTCATTTTCCAGATTTCAAGATTTTAGTCAACTATCTCGTGTTTGGAACTGGTGTAAACTGATGTTGTAGTTTGATATTTTCTAAATGTGCACTCTTCCTTTTGCAGCTCCTTCGCCATGACCCACAAAAAAGATTGCCTCTGAACGAAGTATTAACGCACCCTTGGATTAGAGAAAACGCAGACATGCATGTTCAACCCACCCCAAGGGTATAGTGTTACTTACAGACTTCTTCATATGAAGACCTTATAAATATATAAATATGTATTAACAAAATTAATTGTGAAACAAAGTGGAGGGAAAGGAACTCTTAGTGTAAATGAGGAAATTGGAATAAGACACTTCCTGCAAAGAGATTGAGGTGATGGCATGTAGCATCCCCAGGGACAGGATTTAGTGAAGTTGGATGACTTTATGTAAATTAATTTGGTTCTGACATGTGTGCAAGATTGAATGAAAAGTGACTGTTATTAAAGGATGGTCTGATATGTATGTCACTTGTTTAAAAGTGGAGTGGAGATTAAAATAGAAGTCCACTCTGTTGTCAATGTAGCATGATGGATCTTGATGTTTTAAGGTTGTTCTTTTGTAAGTAGAATTCCTGTTGTTACCTCTAAACAAAGAACCACTGAGTTTTTTTCTTGGATCACTTTATTCTCTTATAAGAATTATTGTTGTGTAGCAGCTGTCCAGGTTATGCAACTGGAATTGCCTGTAATACAACACCCTGTAACACGAGAGAGAGCTCACTGAAATCTTAGTTCGTACATTTATCAGTCAAGGCTGCTTTGGGATTTGGTCAAAAGCTTTTTGAATGTTAATATGACTGCTAATACTAACTAATTTATTATATGTCACAGAACTTGATTTTATTTATTTATTTATTATTTTTTTTTTTTTGGAAATAATGATCATATATACTAGGCTTGCTACTGTACAAGGTTTTGATTGAGTCGAGTCCAAGTTATGTTGGAATTGAGCAGAAGTTGAAGTCACAACATTGATAAGATGGGAAATTACCATTCAATTTTCTTTATCTCTATTCTGCCAAACTATAATTTTCATCAACTTAAGTTGACATTAATATAGTGTGAGTTCACTTATTATAGTTCTTATTTTTTATATCTATCATTAAGTTATGTGGACTTCAATTCTCATAAACATATCTGCAGACTTCTATCTTTGCAGGTTTTCAATGTCTTTTTTTAAATTGCAAAGGTTTGTCTTCTTAGAAATTAGTTTTTTTTATCTTTATGCCAATAGTTTAATATCAAGAAGTATGTCCACTTTTTTCATTATATTTAAAAAGCTTTAAAGAAATTTGAAAGAAAGTTAATTAGTTAGCCAGTTGCTGTCACAATGCCTGGTAGAAATCGGCCTTTGAGTGATTGGGAGTATTTCAAAGTGGTATTGAATGCAAACATCAAATGCTCGATTCGTCTTTTCTGCAGCAAGAAACTGTAAAGAACTAATTTTGGAAGTTATTAAATCTTTATTGAATGATAATTTTCTAGAAAGTTGAAAAAATAAAGAAGCCTGGCTGTCATAAGCACGAGGTTAAGATATTTAAAGAAACGAGATAAGCTTTTATAAACTAGTGCTTGTATTCATACAGTATTCATTAATACTTTGAAATATTTGGAAGTTGAAGTTGAAATCTGTTTCATAAAAAATGTTGGGCACGTGAGTAATAAGAAAGTGTAATGTAATTATAATTGCCACTCATTGTTTTTGAAATTGTTCGTCTTTTTATATGACAAATAAAGTTATTTTAAATATCCACCACGTTGTGAATGCTAAAGCACACATTCCATTGCTCATTGTGTTAGCGAAGACGGGCACCTGTTGCACGTCAATGCGTGACGTCATAGGCCTAATTATCATATTCATCCGGGCATTCCGCGCATGGCAAATGAGGTAAAATCGGGACTTTGTCTATTTCACCAGTGGCCGCCATACTGACGATTAGTGAAAATTCTTCTAAAAATGGAAGGCGGTAGCGGTGATCTAGGGGCTCAACCAGTCAAGGTGAGCTAATAATTCATTGATTTATTGCTGATCTTTAATTGGAGAGTGTAAATGTGTTAGATCATAGTCAACTATGTGGATGTTTCATTATTTGAAAATCTCTAATTTCCTGACGAACGGAAAAAATGGCCGAAAATTTCTAAGTCCCGTCGAAGGGATGGGGTTCGTAACGAACGGAACTAATTGACGCAGCGTTGTTGTAATTAAGAATACTTGAACTGTAAGTCTGGCAGAGGTATGAATTAAACTGGGGATATAAATGTATGAAATTGCGTACTTTTCTTTCCAGCCCCAATCAGCTGATGGACCCGTGGCGCAGCCGGCTGCAGGCATGTATTTTCATTGTGTTAGTGGCCTGAGAATAAGAAAATGTTTTAAGTCCGAAAAATGGATTAATACACTGCTTTATTTCGTCTCATAAATGGTATTTTGAATAGATATGCCTTAAGGCACACCTGTTTGATTTGAAGTGTAGTAATAATTATGTTTTACAAATTAGTTGATTATTCATGGGCCTAGTGTGAAGCATTTCAAATGGACATTATCTGTGAACATGGAGCCAGACTTGAATATTAAGCAAAATTTTCACTCACTAAGTACAGATTATAAAAATTATAAATTTGTGAAAGATATGAAAGGAAATCTATTTTTCATTTAAAAAATGAAATGTGTAAACATTTTTGCAACATTGTGGACTGTTTTCAAATCAGTCACTTCTCTTTTAAGTAGAGTAAGAAGGGAAGAGAAGGATTTATTATAAATGTCATCAATACATTTAAATTAAGCAGTTAAGAAAAATGCATTTACACAGTTGGAAACCATTTACATGTGGAATGATGTCAACTACTTTTCCTAAGACAAAATGAATTCTTTTTGAACATTTTCCACTGTTGAAATTTTATAGCCAAGAATATAGGTTATCTACATTCATTTGAACATGGTAATGTTACAGACTTTCTGTTGTCTGGATGAAAAAAATTCTTTCTTAGACCAATTGAATTTATGTAATATTTATTTCATTCTGTTCACATTTTGCTGAGTCCGCTTTTATGTCCACAGCAAGTACGTTATATGAAACAAGAATGAGAAAATACTTTCGTTGGATTGGTAAACAGCAATATTTTAATCTTTCAATAAATTTAATTTAAATTAAATGGCATTGACCAAGATTGAGATAAATGCATTTGAATGTTCATTACAAAGGAGATGAAAGCAAATTGGTACTTAAAAAAACAAACCACAGGTATTTGGGTCATGAATTAGACACTTGGGTAAGTGTAAATCCTTGGTGCAGTAGTTTTTACTAAGCAATNAAAAAAAAAAATAAATAAATAAATAAATAAATAAAATAAATAAATAAATAAAAAATGATAAAAATCTGCTGAGAAACAAGACACAATTTCAGAGTGGCTAACGAAAAGTGTAATGCTGCCAAGAACTTGAAAAATAAATGTTGTGTTGCACAAAACCTAAATATGACTTCAAAAACAACTAGAGCTTAGAGTGATGCATGTTTTGTGGAACAATGACAAGAAAAAAATAATTGAAATTTGTTTAATTCCAGATGGCTCTCAAAATGGAGTGGACAGAATGCCTATGACCAATGGCATTGGAGATGAGAGACCCCAGGTCAATAACATTCATCGTGAGAGCAAAAGGTAAAATGTCTGGAAATTATATTCACTGGTTTGATTCTCAACATAAAAACACCTTCAGTAATATGTTATTGTGGTAATGAACTCTTCAGTTGTGCGTGTAATAAGTATGGCATGTAACTGATTCCTAATTCTATTACCTAATAGTAAACAGCACATTGTGACTCTGTTATATTTCCTGCTCAAAAATATAAAATATATTAATTTTGATCATTTTAATTTATGATGTTACATTGTAAATTAATGATATGTTTAATATAAAATTGATTGTGAAATGAAAGTTTAAACTTTTTGATAATACCTAGTGTGCTTCACAGTTTGTAATTCAGTTATATTTCTTTTAAATGTATTTTAGAAAATGTTTTAATGTCTGGTATATTATCCTTAGAATTTCCATTTCACTACAATTTAATATGTACCATCCAACTTTTAAATGCAAATGAATATTATTATAATTATTTGGAAATTAAACTGTAATTAAAATGTAACAGTAAGGAGAATGGGGATGCCAGCAAGGACAAGCACAGGGAAAAGGACAAACAGAGAGAAAAGGACAAGCATAGAGAGAAAGATAAACACAGAGAGAAGGACAAGCACAGGGATAAGGATAAACCCAGGGATAAGGATAAGGACAAACACAGGGACAAGGATAAAGAAAAACACAGGGACAAGGACAAACATAGTAGCTCCTCTAGTAAGGACAAGCATAAAGAGGGGAGCAGTTCAAGCTCGTCCAAACACGGCTCATCTTCATCCTCATCCAAACCTAAAGATGGCAGTTCTAGTTCATCAAAACCCAAGGAAGGAAGCTCTTCAAGTTCTTCTAAACCAAAGGACCCCACTAAGCCTTCAAGTTCATCATCCTCTAGTTCATCTAAAGACAAGCATAGGTAATCCGGCATTCGATTCTGCATTTCTGAAATTGTTTAAGTTCCAGTGTGCCTAGATAAGACAAGTTGAATATTGCATAGAAAATTTTCAAGGGTGATAACTTGTCAAATATGCTGGGAGCAAGATGAAAGAAACCTCCGATGGCTTCTAAAAGAAAAAGAAATAGTAAAATAGAAACAATTCAAAAGTTAAATTAATAATTTAAAAAAAAATTAATAAAGTTATATTGTCATTGCAGTAGCTCATCCCATGATAGGCTGAAAGAACATTCCAGCAGTTCGAGTTCAAAGTCTAAAGATGACGCTGGATCCAGTGAAAGCAAGAATAAAGACAAGATGAAAGAAAAGCATAGAGATAAAGAAAACAGGGACAAAGACAAACACAAAAGTTCCTCTTCTCACTCTGCAGAGAAGAAGGACGTTTTTATAAAGAAAGAACCTGAAAGTGGAGATGCACCAAAGGTGGAGCCACTGTCACCCTCGAAGATCAAGAAAGAACCCTCGACTTCTCAGGTGAAGGTCGAGGACAGCGATGATGATATGCCTCTGGTAAGTCAGCTGTGATCTCTCTTTTAACAAAGTCTTCTGAAAAGGAAAAAGACGACAACAACAACAACAACAACAGGGTTTGCACTAACAAATCTTTGAAATACATTTTTGTTGAGTTGCACAAAATTCAAGAATTTTAATGAGTGTGTCAGTTGGAATCGATATCCTTATTTTACCTGAGACCTGGTTAGTTATTCTCTGTAGGACAGTAATCAAAGTGAGTTGCTGGATCATCATCCTAAAAAGGTTGTCCCCATCTCACATCAAGACGGGTACATGTGTTTATTTTTCTTTAAATGAATGAATTTGTGTAAGCTTGAGAGATGTGTAACTGTGAATTTTCATATGTATTTTTTCGCTTTAAGCTGTATTATTATCCTGCAGGCTTCTTAATAATTTTTTCATTGTAATTTTTTTAGTCCTCAAGGAAAGAATTAGTGAAAAAAGAGTCTCCTGTGAAAAAAGACAAACGACCCCTACCAGAGTCTGACGACGACGATGAGCCATTGTCTTCAAGGATGGACAAAGTCAAGAAAGTGAAGAAGGAGGAGAAGAAAGCCGTCAAGAGGAAAGCTGATGATTCTGAAGATGATATGCCTTTGGTAAGTCTGATTTTCAGCCAGGTATTTATCAGCATTCTACATGTCTTTCTGTAACAGAACTATTGATTATCTTTGGCATCTGAAGACCTTCCAGTGAAACTTCCATTTTCACATGAAATGAACAGAACATGAACGTTTAATTTGTAGCTTTCCCTGTAGCATAATAAATATTAGCTTGACTCTTCTTAATGAGTTTCGGCTTTTGAAAGAAAAACAAATAGCCAAAGGTGTGTAGGTTTTATGACGCAATTAATTTTACGAGATATTCTTATTTTTAATTTATAGTCTAGCTGTTATATTGATGTTTTGTTGATTCAAGCACCATATATATCTGCAAATATAAAATTTTTGCAGGGGTGTATAAACTTTTTGTCAAAGTGATACTTGTCCATATCATATACCAATCAACCTTAAAATGTCAAATTCAACCTTGTTTTAGGCCAAGAGGAAAAAAGATGCTAAAGACAAGAAGAAAACGAAAACCAAGACGAAACCTGGTGTGGAGACTACACCAAAAAAGAAAAAGAAGGAGGAAGAAAATGTACAGACTTGGAAGTGGTGAGAGTTATAATTTTTCAATTTCAATTTTTGAATCCAAAAGTATTTTGATGGAAACCATACAGCTCTTAGAAATAATTTTCTTAACAGCATATATGTTTAACTGCTCTCAGACCCCTGCTATTTTGGATTGGGTGATTGGTTTGATTAATCCTTATGTTGATAATTTATTGACACATTTCATCATACACCACAGGTGGGAGGAGGAAAAGCGCGATGATGGCGTCAAGTGGAAATTTCTGGAACACAAAGGACCTGTATTTGCTCCCAAGTATGAGAGAGTGCCAGATAGTGTTAACTTTTACTACAATGGTAAGACATGGGTACATATACAGTGTGACTTGCTGCTGTTATGTAGACAGAATACACTATGGTCACTCCAAGACAGAGAAGTGTTATATCATGCACAGCTTCAAAATTCTCTTTTCCTTGCTTTCCACTTTTAATTGAGGGATTCACATGCCAAGTGTCTATAGAAATTCAGGTTACCTGTGACCGTCCATGTTGTTGTGGTTCTTGCCAGCTGATGCAATTTATTTACCAACCATGATTCTATATCCCCTATATTGTGTAGTATATATGAATGCATTAATGGAGTAATTGGACAAACAAGTATGTAGGTTGATTGATATTTGGATATTCGGCCGGTTAAAGGGATAATAACTCTTTGTAAGAGGTCTATATTTCACAATAAAAACATTGTGAATAACTCATAGAAATATAATATATTCTGTTTTACGACAAAAAACAGCAGTTAAAGCTATTATTCTGATATCCGAGCTTGTCTTCAGACCACGTGACCTCCATTGATGGCTATGCTCTGTTATAATCTCTTAAGAGATTTTAACAAAAAACCAAACTTTTTAGAAAAAAACCAGGGACTAACTTTGAATGTAAAAATGGATTCATTAACTATTGGTAAGTATGGGAAAATTGTTGTTTACTCCAGGAAAATTCATTTTTTGGCCAAAACGAAGAGTTATTATCCCTTTAAGGAAACTTTTATTAATGCTGAAACAAAGTGAGAATTATTACACAATTTACTTTGACTTATTGGCCACAAAATAAAATGTTAATCTAAAATTGATTGCTAAGAGTACTGAAATATAATACAGCCAAACTGTATACAGAATAGAATATTGTGGGGTTGTGCAAAGGTCAAACTATAACCATGCCTTTGTTTCATTTCATTTAAGTGAGTCATTGAATTCCCTTGATGTTGTTCCAGGTAAAAAGATGAAATTGAGTGAGGAAGCAGAAGAAGTGGCAGGATTCTATGGCAGGATGCTGGACCATGACTACACAACCAAAGAAATATTTAATAAGAATTTCTTTAAGGACTGGAGGAAGGTTGGTTAAAGCTGTAACACGCCTAAATGCCATTAAATCTTTTTCTGTGGATTTGTATCTATGTATGTTCCTTTGCTGCTTGATCATTATTAATGTCATCAATTTTACTCTGAAATTCTCAAGTTTATTGTATTTTTGGATATTTTGCAGACATACAGTACATTGTACTTTATGTATATATTTCTCAATTATTTTATATATATTTAATTTTTCTCTCCAGGTAATGACTTCAGAGGAAAGGCCTATTATTACTGACCTGAAAAAATGCAACTTCAAGGAATTTGATGCATATTACAAGATGAAATCAGAAGAGAGGAAGAATATGTCCAAAGAACAGAAAAATGTAAGCAGAAAAGCAGTAGATAATGTCATGGGAAATTATTGGATCAGTTATTGCTGTTCTTATATTTCTAAAATTGTTTGATACTTCTCTAAATTTGTGCAGGTGATGCTTTAAAACTATTATAATATGCCAAAAAATTTTGTATTATTTCACAGCATCTTGTTATTCAGAAAACCCATAATAACTATGCTTCTAAGAATTACTTATGAAGTATTTGAAAAAAAGGTTTGAAATTAAATTGAATGCCAGGTCACTAACGTGATTTTCAGAAAATCAAAGAAGAAAATGCTAAGCTTCAAGAAGAATATGGCTTCTGCACAATGGATGGGTACAGACAGAAGATTGGCAACTTCAGGATTGAACCGCCTGGTTTGTTCCGTGGTAGAGGGGAACATCCAAAACAAGGAATGCTGAAAAAAAGAATAATGCCCGAGGATGTGACCATCAACTGTAGCAAGTAAGTTGTTGCACCTCAAATATTCAAATTTTCTGATAAAAAAGAAGAAAGAATACTATACCCCATGGGTATGTTTCAGTGGAGTTTATTCAGACAAATATTAACCCACACAACATTTCACAATTTTTGTCTTTTTCCAGAGATTCAAACATCCCAGAGCCCCCTGCTGGACACAAATGGAAGGAGGTCCGCCATGACAATACTGTAAGTAGTTATTTTATTTATTTATTTATTTTGGGAAAAAGAATGTGACTGAATCCCATTGTAGTGAAAATAATCTACATAATTCACATTTATCAGTAAAATGTTCTACAACATAGTAAGACAAAGCTTTTGTCATTTTTTTTTTCAAGTCTCATTATGATGTTTTAACATGTTAGGCTGCTGATTTTTATATGATAACAAATTTTACTGATTGAGAAATTGAATCTTTCTTCTGAAATAAACCTTATTTGCATTAAGTTTTCAAGAAAGTATGACAAATTTATTTTTTAAAAATCTTGGTTGTTCTTGCAGGTGACATGGTTGGCAACCTGGACGGAGAATATACAGGGACAGAACAAATATGTGATGTTAAACCCCAGCTCCAAGATTAAGGTGAACATTTACATATTGTTTTGGTTTAAAATCAGATTTGGGCAAAATAAAAAGAAATTTCATTTCTACAAACTATCAGCATTGTCATGGTAAGTTAACAGTGTATGACTGGTTGTACAGGTCAGTTGCGTTGATTTTGTGACATTAAATTTGATTTGTCTGCTCTTGACCAATAGTTTTGGATTTCAATTTGTAATGTGATATATGATTGGTGCGATTTCCTTGTGTAGTACATTGTGTTCTGTAAAAAAAAAAGAGAAAAGGCTGTCTCAAAATGATGTTGAAACATGTTAGACTGCTGATTTATTAGTGTTGACAAACTTTGCTGATTGAGACAGTTCTGAGAATTAAAAGCCTTTCATTAGATGATAACTTAGAAGGGAATTTTGACAGAACTTAATTTGGCAAATTTCATCATTTGGCTTTTTATCCTTAGAAGTGTATATACAGAAATGAAAATGTCTATATTTTTACATAGTTTTCCATTTTGCTATGCATAATTTTGTCTTGCAATAAAAAATTAAAATCAGTAACACCTGGTTATTTTGACGTGAGTTAAATGAAGTGGACATCAGATATTTATAACTATGTGACATATTATATGTATTTTGTTATAATATTATGTTTTCCTCTTTGCGTTCAGGGAGAAAAAGATTGGCAGAAATACGAAACTGCCAGAAAGCTCCACAAGTTGGTAGACAGGATAAGAGCCAACTACAGGGAGGACTTTAAATCCAAGGAGATGAGGATACGACAAAGATCTGTAGCTCTCTACTTCATTGATAAGGTATGATTCTTTTGTGCCCAATAAATTGCAGCAACATTTGGAAGCAGATTTTGTATTAAAAGGGATGAGAAAACTGCCATTCTTAAAGAGGTGAATTTACATACACTACATGGTGGGTTTCTTTAGTGGAAAGTTTGCATAATTTAGTGAAAAGTTTGTTCTGAAAAGTGTATTCTAATCAAGGCCCGTTATAAAGTATAATAATTTCTTTTATGTTATTTTGTTTGAGCAGCTTGCCCTGAAACCAGGTGATAAGGATAAAAAGAAGAATGCTTCTCTTCATATAAAAACTTTGCTGTTTACAGGCTTGAGTTCACTGAAGCAGATATTGTGAAGCAGATCTCAAATCTCTAATATTTCCAGCTTGCCTTGAGAGCTGGTAATGAGAAAGATGAAGACCAGGCTGATACCGTGGGCTGTTGTTCACTGCGTGTAGAGCACATCAAGCTGCACGAGACGGACGGAGGGCAGGAAAACGTTGTTGAGTTTGACTTTCTTGGTAAAGATTCCATCCGCTACACCAACAAGGTTGCTGTGGAGAAACGCGTGTTCAAGAACCTGCAGTTGTTCATGCAGAATAAGGCTGATGGAGACGATCTCTTTGATAGACTTAATGTAAGTTAATTGACTTGCTCTGTTTGGTTGTGCACATGGGAATTTTCTTTCTTTTTATGAGAGAGAAGCCATATTAATCTACATGTCACAAAATCAACGCCACTGACCTACCAGTTTTCAATTTATTGCATTAGCTTTCATATAATACTGACTTAAGATAACATGGTGGCTAGTGTTTCTTTGTCTTACTGCAGCAGTAAAAGGAGAAAGTATTGTGCAGTTTGGTATTATGAAACTACGGTAATCTTTATTTTGTAATAAGTGATTTAAATGGTGTATACTTGAGTTAATGAACTTAGTAATACATGTAATTTTTTACCCTTAAATCTCTTCCAGACAAGCATTTTAAACAAGCATCTCCAGGAGCTGATGGACGGGTTGACAGCCAAGGTGTTCAGGACATATAACGCCTCCAGAACTCTGCAAGAACAGCTGGACCTGCTCACTAACGGTAAGGTCATGGGAGGTTTTAGAAAAGTGTACGAATTGAGCTCATTTGGACAGTTTAAGTACTGAAAATTGCAGGCATGGGATTTATCCAACAATTGGCAGATTTCCAACTTTTTGGGAGCCAAAAAAAAAAAAGTCTCATCCCAGAAATTGTTAATTTTGGCTGAAGCAAATAAGAATGTGCAGTATTATTGTTTGCAATTTTTTTATGGATTTCACAGAAAATAAAATTTAATATTAATATTTAAATTTCTATGCCAGCATGGTATTAGTGTTATTGTTGAAATTTTCCAGAATTGTTTGTTATTGATATTTAGTTTTGACTAGCTATTTTACATAGTTTTGTTCCACAAATTGCTTACAGCTGAAGATCCAATCGCAGCCAAGCTGTTGGCCTACAATCGTGCAAACCGTGCCGTAGCCGTGCTGTGCAACCATCAACGTGCTGCACCCAAGAATTTTGATAAACAGATGGAGAACATGAAGAGCAAGGTGAGGCAAAGTCACTGGTGACTCAGCCATTGCGTTCAAAGATCACACCTAAAAAAGTGCTAAAATGGAACTGTTCTACCCTCCCAATACAAACGTTGTCAGGCTGCTCTCTTTATTCTCAAAAGAGGCAGCTGTTTTTGCTTTTTTTTTTCAAACATTCTGCACTCACACTTCAAGCTATAATCTCTCACTGGCAAGTCTTTTGAAACATTATGAATGTACTTTTAAAATTTAACGATAGCATATTTGATATTAAAATTAGGTTTCAATCTGCTTGCAACGTTATCATATTAAACATGATGTTCTCTATTCAAGCTTTGCTAGCCTGCAGTCAGAATAATTATAATAATTGTGATATCTAATTCAAGCAAAACATGTTGACTATCTTTATAGATTGAAGCCAAGAAGGACACCATTAAAGAAGCAAAGAAGGCAGTGAAGGATGCAAAGAGTGATTACAAGGCATCCAAGTCCGAGTCCAAGAAAGGGTGAGCATTTTTTCCTATTGAAGAAGACGAAGTATTCAATGCCACTGTTGGCCAGTATGAATATGAATTTTTAACCAGACTTTTTAAATTGGGGCCTGCAGGAAATAATGCTTGGCATGCATCTCAATAAAGATGTGCTCCACTTTGACACGTTATTAACTTAATTTCAAAGGTATTAACTTAACTTAACAACAAATGTATTTCTGCCCCTTTAAAGGTGTTCTGCATCAAGCCTGAAATTTGCTGTTCACAACCCTGTTGTATACATCAGGTAGTCAGCGATGTAATTCTCTCGTTTTCTCTAACAGTGTTCTAGAGCGTAAGAAGAAGGCCTTGGCCAGGTTAGAAGAGCAGCTCGTCAAACTGGAGGTACAGTTGACTGACAAGGACGAGAATAAAGAAATCGCCCTCGGCACCTCCAAGTTGAACTACCTGGATCCAAGAATTTCTGTAGCCTGGTAGGTGTTTTGTGTTCTTCACTTTTCCAGTATGCAGCTACTACTTCATTGCGGCTTGTAAAGATATGCATTTGATTTATTACAAGTCAGAATCAGAGTTGCAGCATTTTTTCCCTAGTAATTGAAGGAAAGTAAGCAAATGAGCATAACTGCATGAGTGAAAGTTTTCAGGATTGTGACTGATGTCAGGATTCGAAGTTTTCATTTTGATTTTTTTTTTCAATGGTTCTGAATGTGACGTGAAATTGCAAGCTATATATACAAGATTTGTTTTTTTAGAAATTTCAAAATGTTCTTTAGCTTACTAAATAATAATTGTTTTTGATCAATTGTAAGTTATGACTCTTTTTCTTTAATTTAAAGGTAAAAGTTACATAAATTTTGGTATTTGGGTACATATATTTATTTAAATAGTTATATACATTTTTTTATTGACAAAATATTTCATTTTGGTGTTCTGTTTTTGGTTTCAGGTGTAAGAAGTGGGATGTCCCCATTGAGAAGGTCTACAACAAAACCCAACGAGAGAAATTTGCCTGGGCTATAGACATGGCAGAGGCTGACTACAAGTTTGTAGAATAACCACAACCTAGTATTAGGAGAACTAGCGAAAGGATCAAGATTAAAATCCAGTTTTTAAAGGAAAAAAATCCAGTATGGGCAGTTTCTGGTGCACACATCTGTGTGTCAAATACAGACAGTTCCTACTTTTTGACTTGTGGATCAAATAGTCAAGTATGGGCAATTCCTTGCTTCACAACACAGACAGTTGTTGAAGGGACAATTATGGTCAGTTTCTGATGTAACAATTTGTGTGACTTACCCATATAAAACACATATAAAATGATATGCGAGGAAGGAATCATTTTTAAGTGTGATAATGTCAGTACACTTCAATTTAATGCAGAGGCTGAATTTTAACTGTGAATTTTACAGGGGGAAAATTGTCTAAGTATTGCTTTCAAGATGTATTCCCTGACAGCAATGGATTTCTCTCATCATATACTATGTCATGAGCTGTGTAGATACCTACGCTACTGTGTTCATCAAAAAGCTGCACCCTATTTTCATACCATGTTGACTGTAATACCATTAGATATATACCATTGTATGCCATATTATTGGTCAAATATTGTTCATTATGGGAGCAACAACGTATGATGTTGACTTAATTTCCTTCTCTGTAAAATAATGCGAACGAGTGGATATTTTGGAGCATTTTTTAATATAATATTGGAATATTTTACCATACCTTGCAGTTGAAAGGTCGTAATGCAAAGTCAACACACTTGATTTGAAGTAACATCAGTGAAGGATATTATCACAGGACAGTTTCTGTAACACTCACTAGGTGCGCCACTGTTTGTGTCAAGAGGAACAGAATAGTGCATCTTGGTATATTTAACGTGTTAGAAAATTAAATGCCTGGTAGAGATGTAAAGATCTGAGCATGATAGATACAGGTGTGTGAGACAAGAAAGTGAAATATGGTGCATTATTATATCTTATAGATGCATTTTAATGAAAAAAAATCCATTAAGGAATATTCATGCCTAATTCAATGCAGTGGCACCTAGTTTGTGCTGCAGTGAGCAATAGGAAATTTCATCGATAGAGAAGCACTTGTCTTTCCCAATATTGTTATTTATTTATACTTGCAAGACAGTTTTGGTGTACAGGCATTAGTTGACATTTTCTCAGATACACCTTCATTTATATTATTGCAGTACATGACATTGTTCCAATATTTACAATTCATTATCGCCTGACAGCTGGGCTTTCTGATGCTCTTAAAATATAAAATATCATAGTCATTTTAGATTTGAAAATGGTTTCAGTATAAATTAAAGTTTATAATGCAATTTTTAGTTGAAATTTTTATGATATAAACAACAGATTGGAATGTGTAGTGATAACTAGAATAAATGCATTTTCATTGCACTATTTAATATTTATCAATTTATATTGCCTGTATTCCAGTCATTGTGACATTTTGATCTCACTTATAAGTTTTTTTCTGAGACGTGCTTGTCCCCCTGAAACATTATCCATTATGAATTATATTATGAAGAACTGTAGTATCATGATCTGCATTATCTGAATAAAAGGGGACTTCATAGAGATCTGTTTTTCCTAGTGGTGTACGACATGTTCTTAGTATTTCAGTGAATCCCATTATCAAACGTGGACAAAGGGACACTTCTTATTTTTCAAGGATGATCGAGATGTCACAACTTAACGTGACAGTCAATAAGACCACAATGTTAGAAGATAAGTGAGAAGGATAATTCTTAACTCGTCATTAAAAAGGTGATGTTGGACGTTAGTATATATTCTTACAATATGAGGAAGCTGTATATCTTGCAATCACACAGAAGTTGCTTTAAAAGATGCCTAGTCTTGCAAAGAGCAACACATGCCTCAAATGCCTTCGTTTCTCAACTGAATCTGCAATAATGGATACAATAAAAGTATTGAGTTTGTACCTCGGTTTCTGGATTATTTTTAGATCTTTGTGACAATAAAATGTAACAGTAGATATTGAAAAACACATTTAACATTTAATACAGGGATGATACTGGATGATAATAACAAAGAACAATGTACAATGATAATGTTGAAAATGGCTTTCTTCTGTCATCTTAAATGGCAATGTTTCTTCCTGGAGCCTAAAAGATTGATTTGATGGTAATTTCTAGTCATTTATGTGCATTGTGATCATTAAGATGGTTGAAGGGAAAAGTGGGCATTGCCATCCCTGGTGCAAGTATAGATTTCTTCCCATGGTAAAAATGATCAATTTATTCATTTTTAGACCCCGGTACGTAATATTCCCCTCATACAATCCACAAGTCTGGGATTCAACTGCCCTCAGGACAATCTGACCGACTAGGAATGAATAAGCATTATGATTATGATCATTTGCTGCACACTTTGTTCTGAAATTTTTATAGTTAATTTCATCTTGGTTCCTTTGAAACTTTTTTTGCAGCAACAGAGCAAATGAATAAACATAATGGTGATGATAATTTTGTACACTCTTTGTTATGAAATTTTACAGTTTTATCCTGGATGGTCTGAATTTTTAGAGAAATGTTAATCCTGAACAAGCATGGAGTCGACTATCCGCTCAAATGGTCTGAAATGAAATAATAAAAATAACTATGATTAAATGTCTATTGAGAACAAGTAGTCAGTCTTCCCTCATTGAAAATCTGAGGGCTGGACCACAGAGGGTAACAAAGTTGGAGGGGTGTGGGGGGGGGAGGGAAAATGGGGTGCAATCAAAACTACTTTAACAAAGTTTTAAATATGTTAAAATATTAAAATACGTTAAACCAATACGGTCTCCTATTGTCAAACATCCCGTAAATTGCTGGTTTTCCTCATAACTTACTTTGATGAAATATTTTCCCCTGGAGTATAAAATGGATTGCACATCATGTCCACGTAGGCATTGTGAAGTCGCCTGAACATCTATCAAAACAGAAAAATAGTATTTATCTCTGTGTATACATGCAAGTATGTTTGCATCCCTGCAGTACATATACATGTGCATGTATAAATATGTATGCACAGGTGAGTACTGGTACAATTTATAAACTTTATAGTCAAGATAAAATAAGGTTTTTAAATACAAGGTGACATTTTTAGTAACAGAAAGGTACTACTATGAAAAAATCTCTACATTCAAATATATGATAAATTCATGTGATAAACATGATGAGGAAAGTATGTCAAAAATGATCAAATTACCCCTCTAATTTCATTATCTCTGAGGTTTGTGTTGGAAGACTCAACAACAATCACAAACTTGACTTTGGTATTCGTCACATAACCATAACTGGCACCAAGTTAAGGTAAATCTGAGATTCCTGCAGTTTCAAAGCGACAATATTGGTAGTTTTTCTGCTGATAATTGTGTTCATACAAATTTCTGGAGCAAAGGATGTCAATGTTGACAAGGTATTGTACCCCCTGGAACCCATCCCTCTCCACAACAAAATGGTGGACTAAGACTGCATTCCCATAGATTTTAGATCGACCTATCCCCCTGGGGAGTCTTACTAAATTGGTGTCAGCTTAACAGGCTTAAATGTCTGCCCTGCCTACTAAAAGCTGTAAGGGGGTAATTAACTATAGTGCGCTTAGCTGACAGCAATTTAGCATGAACCCCCAGGGAGTTAGGTGGATCCAGATGGATCGATCTAAATCTCTGAGATGCAGTCCAAGTCCCTATCCCAAACCAAAAGGAAATGCAAGTAATATCTGGGGCCCACAGAAGTATTATCACAGGTCTAATGAGAAAAATAATACAAATTACAAGTGAGGGCTACAGGGACACAAACAACTGCTCCTCTTTTTTTAAACATTTTTCATTTCATTTGATATATCCTTTATCCACCAGTAGTTATAAATATTCAGCACTACACAAGGATACACTTTATAGTCCTCAGTAGGGTAGAGTAAGCCCAGGTACAATTCTCTCATATCATTCACGTTTTTCCCCACATTGGAAATCTTTTCCTCAACCACATCCAGTGATGTATGCACTGTGTAGAAGAACTTCAGTTCATTCTCTGTTGGTATGGTCTTGATGAAGAGTGGGAAATTCTGAAATGAAAATAACATACAGTACAGTATAAAGTTAATTTTATATCAACTTAATCTTTTATTACTGATATCCATCAATACTTCAGAAAAATGAGGACAAGTAAAATAAATTAATCCGCAATATATTCATGTCTATGTGCAACGGGTGTTTATATTTGTAAAATGTGTATGTGTGTGGGGGGGGGGGGGCGGGTTACTACAAAAGGGGAGGGATTCCCCTTTCATATGCTTGTAATAAAATACAATTCTAAAAAAATATTTCTTCCTATTTCCCCCTGATGTACGACAACCCAAGTAAAATGTTTCGTTGAATATGCAACAGCTTTATGTAAGTAACAAATGTTTAAAAAAACTCACCTCTTTGGAGATGACTGCAACACATACAGCCATATTGAAATATCTAACCAATCAAAAAATTTGTTGCAAAAAGTTTTCGGCTTTATCCGTGACGTCATATCGTGTCCAAAACTCCCGCCATTTTGATGCTGCAGCGCCATTTGATGTGATCCAAGAGGGTTTTCATCAAAATGCCTAGTTTGTCGGTGGACAGGGATGTTTTCCTTCGGCGGATGAAGAGATTGTACACAGCATGGCAGGTAAATATGCCAATTGGTTTTCTAAATAAAAATGTAAAGCTGTATGCATGTTTTGTTTTAAGCCGGTGAATGCGCATGTGCTTTTATTTATGCAAAGCTAAGGGAAGTGCGTAAAATGTCATTACATACATCTGGCCTTTTATAAATTTTATGGTTTAATGTGGATTGCCATGTGAAAAAATACAAATGACCTTGAACATTTTGCCAGTAATCTGTCTATTACATGCAGAATACCCGTCAGATGCCTATAACTCCATTAACCTGGTTAATAACTACACAACAAACAACACAAATGCTTCTACCCTCGTCAAGGAAAAACAAAAATTTTCATAAACTCTTTCCTAAAAAAAAAAAAAAAAAAAAAAAAAAAAAAACTATACTGGATTGGACCCATCTAGAGGACTCTGTGGTTTGTCTACAGTCTGTTGACATACACCCAAATCACTCAATCCCCCATCATGTCTATGCCAAGCAGGTCCTCCGCTGTTAACACATATAGATTCGATGCGAAATATTTATTATTGAAATTTTTGGAAACATGAACGTCCTCTTTGACCTCATTGCTGAGTTACTAATGCATTTCCCTTCCATCAGCATCAAATCAATCAGATAATAATAGGTACCATATCTGAACATAAAGCAATTGTTGTATGGAATGACAATTTAAAAGAGAGTGCATTGTTTAACTTTTAGTTAATATGAAATTGACTTTGGTGCAAATCTCATCATGTTCAGTATACAATTTTCTCGCTATTTTCCAGAATGCCCCAGAAGATGATGCCCTCCATAAAGTGGATGCCATTGTCACAGTGGTGGGAACTGATGAAGATGTTGTGTATGCCAAGTCCATATCTTTACAGGTAAAAATTAACACATGAGTCATTGACCCTCGTGATGTATTTTCCCAGTGCTCTTATTATTTTACTTTCAAATTACTGGCATGAAAGATAGTGTACAACTGCTTATGTTCATAATGTCATATTTTAATCATTTTAGATAATATTAAATGGGGAAAAGCACACTAAGATGGTCCATAAACTTATATTTGAACCTTTAAAAATTTGATCGACGTGTTTTTTTTTAAAACTTGAATCACAGAATGAAATTGGTCTGCAGGGTAACTATTTGATGTGAACGTATCTTCTTCCTTTTAAGACCTGGTTGCTAGGTTACGAGTTGACGGACACTGTCATGGTTCTGACAGAGGGTGGCATCTACTTCCTGGCCAGTAAGAAGAAGATCGAGTTCCTGAAACAGATTGAGAATGGCAAGGAAAATGCTGAGAATGTGCCCCCGGTTCATCTCCTTACAAGAGAGAAGGTCAGAAATTGGCTTTATCATACTTTCCTATTTTACAAATATAAATTAAATTGATAGTAAACCTTTTAATATATTGTGAGAGGATGATTCAATTTTTTCATTTTTTTTTTTACCAGAATGGGTATTGAGAAATTTATTTTGCATTCTGAAAGGCAAAAAAGAAATCTGTAATGCAATCTTTACAGGGTGATAAAGACAAGGCAAACTTTGTCAAACTGATCTCAGCCATTAAAGAAAGCAAGAAGGTAAGGTACTTTTAATACATAACATTTGTCTTTTCCATTTAGTGTTTGCCCATTTAACTTTCTAGTTGTGATTTTACGATAATAAATATTTTACATAGTCGGGCTGTAAAGCAATTGGCATATATCTTCAGTTTTAATCTTGATTTTCCACAACGTTTGCAGGTGAATACATTTAATCCCTATTTGGATATTTAAAAGAAAAACTTTGTTTCAGTGTAGAATTTGAATTATGTTGAAAATAAGATTGTTGTCTCTTTAACATAATCTGTTACAATAAAAATTCTAGGGAAAGCATGTTGGAGAGTTCAGTAAAGACAAGTTTCCTGGAGAGTTCTCAGAGTCCTGGAGAGCAGTTCTGGGAAAGGAGAGCTTTGAGAAGGTAATGCTGGGAATTAGTTCAGACAAGTTGGAAGTCGGCTTTACTTAGCACTTAAGCACTTGTCAGATGCAAAAAAAAATCTTCTTGGGGTCTTATAATGTCAAACACATATAGTGACCAGTTTGCTGAACAAATGTACAATATTTTACTAATTTTTTCAAAAAGTCGAGTTAGTTTTACTTAGCAAGTCTAGATTGTTGTAGGCACTTTGACTGTGCCAGATATAACACAAATTAATGCATTCCTCTTAAGGTCTAAGAATTTCATGAACATATAGTGGGCAGTGACTGAATAAATTAACAAAATTTATTATTCGGGTCCAATTTTATAGGCGTGTGGCATGGACCAGTATTTATGTTGCACACTACTTTGATGAACTGAGTGTAGATGTGGGTCTAAATAATTTTTGTCTGATATATATTTTTATATTCAGGTTGACCTGAGTGCCTCTCTGGCCTATGTGATGGCCCCAAAGGAAGAGAATGAGATGAAAGTGATTCAGAAAGCAGCTCAAGTCACCATGGATGTCTATAACAAGTATCTGAAGGAGCAACTCATGGAAATCATTGATGCTGACAAGGTGGGATTACATTATGAACTGATTGATTTTTTTCCCAAAAATTTGTTAAATATCACTTTGGAGTGGAAAAGCTCTTTAGATTAAAGAAGGAAATGGAAAATGCTTTTAACAGTTATGTTTAATGAGTCCACCCTGCTGAGCTCGCAGATGGATCAGATTAACTACAGAATGCTACATCACAGCATTTATCGAAAGTGTTGTAATGAAAAGATATGGTGTCATTTGTAACTCTGAATATCTCTGTGCTCCATTGTACACCTTTACAGGTATATCTCGGTTTCTTTTTTAATAGGGCTCATACTAGCTTTTTATGTCTATTATTTTTCAGCGAGTCAAGCACGCCAAGCTTGCCGATGGAGTAGAAGAAGCTCTCCAGAATAAGAAGTATATTACAGGGGTAGACGCTGCCCAGTTAGACATGTGCTACCCAGCTATCATACAGAGTGGAGGCAACTATAATCTCAAGTTTAGTGTGGTGAGGTGAGTGGAACATGGGAGTATGGCATTGTCATTTACAATAATCATTTTTAATATGGCCACTCAGAAAGTTACTTAATGGCTGCTCAAAAATATCATATATAGACCTCTGTTATTTTTCTAAGAAAAGAGTTATGAATATTTAGGCCCCATTAGTGTTTAAGGAAAGAGAAGGTGAAACTCTTAGAGTGGTTCTGTCAAAGCACTGGTCAAAGAAGATGGCCATTTCCTTACAGGATGGAGGTTGTGCAGCATCTTTTCTTCATTAACAAGATGGTCCTTTCCAAACATACAGGAATTTACATAATTAATTTTCTGAAAGCACCTAATGTCTGTCCATAAAACATACCTCTTTCTTTAATCGTTGGCCCCCAAATAACAGAAGAATTTAAAACCATAGTTAAAACATGTTCAGCCTTCCTCTTGTGATTAACTATTACTTAATACTGTGATTATTTCAGTGACAAAAATAACATCCACTTTGGAGCCATCACCATTGCTCTGGGGGTCAGGTATAAGTCGTACTGCTCCAATATTGTCCGCACCATCATGGTGGACCCCACGGAGGAGATGCAGGAGAACTATAACTTCCTACTGAAAGTGGAAGAGGCCATCATTGATAAACTGAGAGATGGTGAGTGTGGTAGATGTGACAGCTGGCCATTGTGTTGGTGGATGTGACTGTAGTTGAGATTAAGTGTAAATTGTAGTACATATTGTAGATGATTTTTAATATCTGATTTAAATTTGAAACCTGTTTTTTTTCCTAGTCAATTTTTTGCTTAAAGGGACCCTCAGAATCCAGTCACAGGCCATCGGGCCATTATTTCTTAATTTGTGTCTTTTATTTGTTGTCAGTGTTGGCTGGTCTTGTGCTGGTGCTCAAACAAAGAAATTATCTGAAAAAAAACCTCTATGACATGCATTCTTTTTATTGCAGGAGTTAAACTAAGTGATGTATTTCAAACTGCAGTAGACTTGGTTAAGAAAGAAAAACCAGACCTCCTGGAGAAAATGACCAAATCAGTGGGGTAAGTGTAGGTGAACCATATTAATTACCCACATACTGACACTCCAATGTACAGACTTCATGTTGTTACATACAAATACTTCTTAAAGAAATTGTAAAGAAAAATCATTCAACTAAGTAAATAGAAATACAAGAGGATAAAAGTCATGATGTCTGTTTTTGAAATTCTAGTTTTGGTATGGGGATTGAATTCAGAGAGGGATCTATGTTGATTGGACCAAAGACAACCGTCAAAGCCAAGAAAGGTAAGAGTGTTGTCATTGTAACATTATCAGAAAGTAGAAATGGACAGCCACTGATACAGATATCTACAAAAGATGATACAAATCTAATTCAATTGTGCAACTAGTCACCTGTAAATCTCTACAGAGGTTATATACTTCCCTCTTTTGTTTACCAACTATGGTGTGCAATGTTGCAAGTGTATATGTAGACATGAGGCCTCGCCATAAGACCATGAAAACATATCTTCCTAATTTTTTAATTTACATCCAAATATCATGTCTACCATTGGCCCATTTTGTTTTCCAGGCATGGTATTTAATGTAAACGTTGGGTTTGCCGGACTGACAAACAAGGGCGCCAAAGATGACCAAGGAAAAACGTACGCCTTGTTTGTAGGGGATACAGTGCATGTGGCAGAGGTGTGTAAACACTATGAAGTAATAAAAATAAATAATGAAATTGAAAAATCATAACTGGAGTTATTAATGAAATGGAAATTATGTTGAAGAATTTTATGAAGCATTTTTATCAACAGGGTATGAAAAATATAAGAATTGAAAATGTGGAGATGGATCATTTTTGGCTACACTGATTTCATTGAGAAAAAGAGTTGTCAATGATTGTTATTTATTTGTTTCTTTTTATTTTATTTATTTGTCTATTTATTTATTTTTTTTTTTAATTTAGGGCCAGGGTGCAGCTGTTATTACAAATCTGAAGAAAAGAGTGAAACATTGTGCCATTTTCCTTAAGGTTAGTCCAGACTACAGTCTCGTTAATACTGAACAATTTCTGCTAATTTCTGAGCCTAGAATCCTGTTGAAAAATCTCTTTCTTAGTCAGTGAAGTTTTTTTTCCAAGTTGCCCTAAACAAATCACGATAGAAAAATTCTGCACTGGTTGAGAATAAATGTATGTGAAGCCTGGAACATAATAGCATGACTTAATGAATCAGTTATTTGTTAGCTTGAGGTACAAATTCTGCATGTGTTTGCAGGATGAGAATGATGAGGAAGAGGAGGAGGAAGAAGAGGAAGAGGTGAAGCCAGACATGCTGGGACGTGGGAGGAGGACAGCTGTGATAGAGAGTAGGTTGAGGGTAAGTGTTGGGCTACAGGCTTGTTCTTTTGGTAGATATAGTTTTAATGAAAGAGACTTTGGTAAATGGTTCTTTAGTTTCTTTATAAGAATATGAGGAAAAATATTTCAGTTTCACAGGTTTTGTATTTTAAGGATGTAGCATGCAAGGACTATAGAATCGACAGAAATACAGGCGCAAGTTCTTCACTGGCTACTGCTGTTTAATTTATTCAGGAATATAAAAGAAACTATGGCAAGAAAGACATTTATGCCTTTACTATAAACAAAAAAATTCTGGAAGCTGCTGCTATGCCAGTTTTTGTTCTCCTAGGAAAAAAACTACACTACACTGAGCAAGTCACCAGGGAGTGACATAATAAATTATATGATGTTCATTTATGTTCATACACTGCATCAGATGTGGTTGTGCATCTGTAGTAATTTGGGGTCATGTTGACCTTACAGATGCTATTACCTATCACTGACAAAATAAAGTAATGTGTAACAAATCCATATTTCCAGACTGACCAGACGGCAGAGGAGAAGCGCGTCTCCCACCAAAAAGAGTTGGCGGAGAAGATTAACCGAGAAGCCAAAGAGAGGCTGAAGGGGCTGAAGAGAGGGGACACCGAGGTCAAGTAAGTAGGGTCCAAAATTTGTTTTGTAACCTGGACGGGATTTGTTGGAGAGAGTTCACGAAAAGGTGCCACAGAAGGTCAGAAATGATGATGATGATGATGATGATGTTAATATGGCAACTGCTTTAACATTTCAGAGCAAAGAAGTCCAATGTCTCCTACAAAAATGTGTCCCAGATGCCACGGGAGCCAGAATTAAAAGAACTTAAAATATTTGTTGGTAAGTTTACTTTCTAATCAAGTAGGTGTAAGTATATAATTTCCATTTGATTGGACGAGTGATATGAACATGCATGCACATATGCATGCACAGCACACATGCATGGGTGCACATGCGTACAGGCACACTGCCTGTTCAAAGTATGTTGCTTTCATTTCATTAATAAGTTCAAAAGGTGAGGGTGCAGTTGTAGCGTGTGAGTTTTCGATGATGAACATTTGATTAAAAAGAACACTTATTGTGTGAAGTAGTGGATGCCCCTGGTCATTTGTTTTATAGAACAGTTTTCTAGGTCATTTCATCTTAATTTGATTTTGTTTTCTTTTTTCTTCTTTCTAGATAGGAAATATGAAACCATTATCCTGCCAGTATTTGGTGTGTCTACACCTTTCCACATCTCCATGATTAAGGTGAGTTAATAATGACTTTGGGTGGTGAGCACTCATGGTACTGTATTTTCATTACCTGCTATGGAATCTAAGTTGTTTTTTTAAGTTGGAACAATGAAACATCAGACATTTTGTGAAACTTGATGCACACCATTTGGTTTTATGTAAGAAGATTAGGATGTAAGGCAAGCCCTCGCCTCCCTCCCCCACACCAAAAAACATTTGCTCATAATAATAATAATAATAATAATAATAATAATAAAGAATAAAATGATTAATTCAAATGATTGGTTCATATGTGTGAAATATTTTCCCTTTTCTATACTCGATTAGAACATAAGCCAGTCTGTAGAAGGGGACTACACTTACCTTAGAGTCAACTTTTTCCATCCTGGAGCCTCCCTGGGAAGAAACGAAGGGCCAGCATTTCCACAGCCTGACGCCACTTTCTTGAAGGAAATGTAAGTAATGAATTCCCGTGTCACCATGCTGTGTTTTCTCAAAAAATCTTTTTTTCTAAAAGTTCTGTGGTTTTCAGTAAAAAAAATATATATATAGTTGAATCCAACTTATGAAAGTTTGGATGCCTCTCTTCATTCTACTGTTTTGATCAGAAATAAGTCCATAGTCAGCTTCCTTAGGTGACAGAAAGTATCTCTACCCTACTATTATCTGACACTGTAATTAAAAGTAATATAGGAGTCCTTAATATACAGTTTTCAATACATTGCAACTCTGGGTGCCTTTGCATCCTGCAAGTCTTTGTAAAGAACATAATTTCTAATACTGCAATTCTTTAATTACAGAACTTATCGAAGTTCAAATGCCAAAGAGCCTGGCGAAATCTCCGCACCCTCAACAAATCTCAACACAGCATTCAGACTTATTAAAGAGGTCCAGAAGAAATTCAGAACAAGGGAAGCAGAAGAGAGGGAGAGAGAGGTGAGAAATTTGTTAGGTTTGCTGGAAAGAACCGTATGGTTCAATTAATAAGTATCAGGTGGAATGGTGAAGAATATAGTTATGGCAAAGGCTCTAAAAGGAGAAGAATTTGAAAAGTAAAAAAGAAATAAAATTTGATTAGAATTCATGATCCATTGTAATGATAAGAAAAGAACTGTAATTTGTGAAACAGAAGAAAGAGAAGAGGTATACAAATTATCATTTGGAAGCTGAAAAGTAGAAGAAATTCAAGAGCAAATAGAGATGGGACCATATGTTTGTGATTCAGAACTTTGCAAACAATTACTTACAATGGAGCTTCAATCCTGAAGATCCTGGAGGTTTGCATTCTTGTGTTTTGATAGAAATTCAGCATATTTTAATTGTTGGATTTCTGGTTTGTTTATCAAGTCAAGAGTGGGCCAGAAAACTGTCTGCTACAGGACATAACAGGTATTATAACTTTGACACAAGTTGCAGGTTTTTGTTTTGTTTTGTTTCCAGGGTATAGTCAAACAAGACACCCTTGTTATAAATCCTAACCGTGGAAACCCGAGATTAAAAGATCTGTACATCCGACCAAATATTGTTTCTAAAAGAATATCTGGCACTCTGGAGGCACACACAAATGGTGAGAACAATTGGGTCTTAGATCCCCCTTCTTCTGTCTCTCTCTCTCTCTCTCTCTCTCTCTCTCTCTCTCTCTCTCTCTCTCTCTTGTGATTGACTTTAAAAATGTGTCAAATTTAACAACTTCATGTGACTGTATCATCATATACGTTCAGTTTACAAAAATTTTTGTTTTCTTTCAATTCTAGGTTTCCGTTTCACATCAGTGAGAGGAGACAAAGTTGACATTCTGTACAACAATATCAAGCACGCCTTTTTCCAGCCTTGTGATGGTGAAATGATCACCATGCTGCATTTTAACTTAAAGGTAAGAACTGGTATTTGACAAGGTCAGTTAAAGGTGATGTATCAGTGAGGAAAATCAGTTTGAAGTTAAAAGAAAGTCTTAAGATCCTAGTTTGTTATATAAAGGGTGGGGGGAATGAGAAATTTGAAAGATGTTAATGTTTGTTTTCCCTGTTCCAGCATGCCATCATGTTTGGCAAAAAGAAGCACAATGATGTGCAGTTTTTTACGGAGGTGGGAGAGATAACGACAGATTTGGGCAAACACCAACACATGCATGACAGAGATGATCTTCATGCAGAGCAGGTAAGTTAGCGATCTACCTGACAAATAAAAATGTCCAGTGTCACACGGTGTTATAGATCTGCATGTTGCAAATTTAAAATTGTTATAGAACTGCTGCTTTTAGCAAAGCTGAACGAGGGGTGAGGCAGAAGTTGATAGCTGCTTTCAAAATTTTTTAAATGAAGGTTGAAATAAATGCTAAAACTGAATATATTTAATGTATAGCCGTTGTTCTGCAGGCTGAAAGAGAAATGCGCCAGAAGCTGAAAGCAGCCTTCAAGGCTTTCTGTGAGAAGGTGGAGAATATGACCAAGGGAGAGGTGGAGTTTGACGTCCCATTCCGTGAGCTGGGCTTCTTTGGCGTCCCGTATAGGAGTACAGTGCTACTACAGCCCACGAGTGGGTGTTTAGTTAACCTGACAGAGTGGGTGAGTGGGAACTCTAGAAAAAAAATTCTAGAAAAAAGTGTATCACTGTTGAGGATCATGATGATGGTGCTGATAATGATGTTAGATTTTTGAAATCTGCCAAGAAGGATTGAAAATCTTAATTATATGTGGGGAGAAAATCCCATTTGAAAAAATTCTGACTGTTTTCAATATAATGTTTGGCACAAATGAAGACAGAGATAAAACAGTATATTTGTCTTCATTGAACACAAATGTTATCAATGTAGCACACTGATATTTAATACATCTTTCAAATTTTTTTCTTTTAAAATTTCAGCCCCCCTTTGTTATCACCCTGGACGAGGTCGAGCTGGTCCACTTTGAGCGTGTCCAGTTTCATCTGAAGAACTTCGACATGGTGTTTGTGTTTAAGGACTACCACAAGAAGATTGCCATGGTGAACTCGGTGCCCATGAACCAACTAGATCATGTCAAGGACTGGCTCAAGTGAGGCTACTGGTTTTCATATATATTTACTTTTAAAAACCCTTTTGAACTAAACTTATGTCATTGGTGATTTTACGTACATAGAGAGATGACATAGTAATCAATTGTATTTGAAAATAACATGAAATGTGTCACATTTATAGATAAATGTCTTCCAGATTTTCTTACATGGTTTGCTTTCATCTTTGCAAATTTAATATTTACGCTTTGAGAGGATTGAAATCACACCCAAACACTCTAGAATACTATACATTGTCTTCCTGGGTCACCTAACCACCAGTACTTTGTGCCAAAATCACACCTAACCCACATTGTCTTCCAGCTCCTGTGACATCCACTACACAGAAGGCATTCAAAGTTTAAACTGGACCAAGATCATGAAGACCATCACGGACGACTCTGAGGGGTTCTTTGATAATGGCGGATGGGTGTTTTTGGAGCCTGAGAGTGACGTAAGAATGAAATTTCAGAGACGGGCAGTCTTGACTAGAGTTTTCAATTCTCATTTAATAAAAGTTGATTTTTGAAAAGATATGATGTGTAGTGTTCGGTTGTATGATCTGTTGTGAGCTTTCTGTAATCAGCTCACAGATGTATGTCATACCCAGATAGGTCATCTCAACTGGAAAACCCAAACTTTCAATCTCTACTTTTTTTTTTTTTTTTTTTTTCAAGATTTGCTTATTTCATATTTGCACAAATACATGTTCTCAGACATGCTACCAACTTCACATAACCTTTGAAGCATCCCTTTCTGGCTAACTGTTAGCAGTGGAAGGGAGAAAACAGGCAACTTGTTACTAGTTATTATAAATGACATTTTATATCCGTGTATTAGGAAGAAGATGAGGAGGAAGAGGAAGAAGACGATGATGAATTCCAGCCGTCTGACAGCGAAGAGGTGGAGGAGAGCAGTGAGAGCGAATACAGCGAGGAAAGTAACTGGAGTGATGAGGAGGAGGATGAATCAGGTACTGGAATATGGTCATGTGATACAGACTCCATCTTAGTGTTCTGGGGGATTGGGGTGGGGGGGGGGGGTGATCAGTGAGAGTGAATACAGTGAGGAAAGTAACTGGAGTGATGATGAGGAGGAGGATGAATCAGGTACTGGAATATGGTGATGTGAAACAGACTGTTGATGTACTTGGTGGGTGTGGCATTTGAATGTAAAGGGTCAGTATTTATTTGTCACTGTGTTTGTGACTGAGTGTTATTTTCAAAGTAGCAAAATGACCTGTAAAATATGTGCTAGGTAAAATGCTTGTTTAGGTGTATGGAGCTTTTGGTGGGGGGTTCATATATTGCACTTGGGGGGAATATCTTACGGTACCTTCCGGTGCTTATGGAACATATGTGTCAAGGTATGCAAGTATTTTACGTTGTTTACTGAATTTTATAGCTGAATTTAATTTGATTTGAATTATCAAGAATGATCTTGATAAGTTTTGACATATGTTAAAAATGACAAGAATAAACAGTTACAGAGCACTAGATGTCATATTGAACACTAAACATTTTCTGTTCCTGCTTCCAGATGAGGAGGAGATGGGATCGAGTGAGGAGAGTGGTAAAGATTGGGATGAGCTGGAAGAGGAGGCCAGACAAGGTGAGAGAGGGGGGCCTGCAGACATACCTCATTTATTTGATGGACTTTTGAATACATATGGTCTCTTCATATAGCATTAATAGCACCCGCATATGTCTTATAAGGAAATTGATTTTGTGTATTTGAAGATGCTTGCAGATGTGATATCTGTTTTGGAAATTTACACACCTTGCAGATAACTATCTGAATTCATTTTAACGTTTGTAACATTATCAGTTGTAACTTTGCCAGATCTTAGAAATTATATTTTTTTCCGGTGCCCTGAGTCCCTTGACTTTGACTTCCCAATTTAAATTTGATACCAAGTTTGACATTTTTCCATAGTTTTATTAATACTTATTGACTATTTTCTCAATTATTATTAATCATATCCATGGCGTTCGTCTTGCAGCCGACAGGGAATACGAGCAAGAGGAGGAAGGACGCGGCAGCCGGAAAAGCCACAGCAGTCGCCATAGCAGTCACAAATCATCGAGCCGAAAGAGCAGCGGCAAATCTCCGCACAAATCCAGCAGCTCGAGTCACCACCACAAGAGTGGTAGCAGCAGCAAGGGCAAAGGCGGCTCCTCCAGTAAATCGTCGCCCAGTAAAGGGACGCCCAGCAAGAAGAGACGCCATGACAGTGGCAGCCCCCGCGGCAAGGACAGTAAAAAGAAGAGGTTGAAGTAAATGGCGCGAAACCAATCTTGTCTTTGTAGAACTTTCGCGACAGTTAGAACGTGGGTGTCGTTTGGGTCCAACGTGCAAAAAATGGGGCTCATTTATGTAGGTTATAACTGGCCTCGGGCCGTCAGAAATGTGAGCACTCTATGAAAGTGCCCCAAGAGACCCCAAAATGTGCACAAAAGAAAATGGGAAACACCGAGTGGAAAATAACAGTATTATTAAAAGGAGATGGCTTTTCTGGAAAGACTAATGCTGAAAATGGCAGAGTACCACATTAAACTGAAAGTATTTGTCGAAAAGAACTGACAGAAAATCTTTGGAAAATAAAGTGCCATTAATATGGCTACTGTAAGAAGTGGGCCTAGATTCATCACCAGGTCGCGTGGCCTTTAAAAAATGAAGTTGAATGCTGTCAGCAACAGTGTGACATTGTTGCAAGTACAATTAGCCAATTATGACGTAAACTATGTAACAGCGTCTCATTTAAAGCAAGGTATCGGGATCGTATCCCGTTATATTTGGAGGCAGAAGGACGAATTACATACAAATAGTTTCACGATTTATGTTATGACAATACATAAGTTTGTGTGATTTGATATGTATGCCATTGTCGGGAACCTTTCATTTGTTTCCTCTTCATTTTTGTGGCCTTTATATATTGTTAGAAGTCATTTGTGGTATACAACTTCAAAGAAATCGTTTTATCATCGAAGTGAGAAGACGTTGTTCAGCAATGGTATGGCAGTGTGTTTCATAAAAAAGGAAGCATGTCGGAGAAGTTTCCCACTGTGTTTAAGCAACTTAAAATACAGAAAAAAAACTAAATAGAAATTGTACATAGCGAGAGACGGAGATATTGGTTGTTTTAATTATACAAGAGGCATGAAAAGTTGTCCGATACGGTTTATTGAAAAAAAAAACGCACTTGTGAACTCGAATACCTAAACTCAAAAATAAAAGAACAATTTTGTAAATGCGTTCCCTGATGTCGTTTTATTTTCTTAAAAGGTGAAGGGTCAATTGCTGCTTAATCAAATATTTGATTGTTGACCGTTGGGATAAGAAAAGGGCAAAGAAGGATCAGGTTTAACTACGCCATGCGTGATGTTGGGAGAGGGGAGGACTCGAGGCAGGTCTGATGAAAACGTTTGAAAGTGAAAAAAATTTGACTTTGTTCATCGCGTTACCGTGTGTTAATATAAATAGTTTCTCTAAATTACCTTTTATCTGCTAAACTCATTTAGGGAGGTACAGAAAAGCCAACTGCCAAAGGGACATCTTGTTTGTTCCAATCACACTCGTGCTGAGGTACTGCATGTCACGTGAAGGTGTTATCTTGCTGCCTAGATGGCACAAATAAAGAACAGCCCTGCGTCGTAAACTTTACAGCCACTAGAACATTCTAATATGTTACTTATAAAGACTAGACGGCTTCTGCTCGGCCTCGTTAGTCCAACATACAGAGTTGGGTTCTTGTGATAACGAAGACAAGGATGATCATATTCATGTGACAATTATACCAGTGAAGTCGATAAGACAACACTTAAAGCGACGTGAGTCCTGTTGTCTTTCTTAAATTGTTTTACATTATTGGTTATTTTAGTTCGTGGTCATAAGGCCATTTCTGCACTTATTTACACCTATGGTCAGTGTCACGTGGAACATCCTCACTTCGGCGTCTGTGATTTAAAGTTGTTATCGTCACATGACGAGACGTATGTCAGTATCTGACGTGATTATCTTCCAAGTTCATTTCTGACCTGGCAGACCGACCAAAACAAGACAACAGTAAGTCAAGAGCCTTTAGTCATGGAGTCTTCAGACTGCTTTGTTATCTGTACACTTTGGCTTTGTGAGTTAAGCTGCTTTTTGCCGACGCATCCTGGTTAAAATAATGAAGGGGGAGAGGAGTAACAGGGTGACATTACAAAAATATCACCTGAACCTGTTCCCCCCTTATCCTGATCTAATTTGTCCTTCGATTAATTTCAGGTAGGAGTTCCACATCAAAAAATTGCATTACGAAGACTTTATTGCAATCAGCATCGTTAAACCAGAGCCTACTGACGACTACTCGGGTATTATTATCAAATTTGCAACCAGAGAATTGGATAAACACATTCTTTGCATCATAGTTGAATTAAACTACTAGTGAATAAGAATAAAGGAATATTAAAAGACATATATGGACAAATTTAAAACAAAATAACTAAAATGCAAGGTTAAAAAAGAAATAAAAGTCTATCAATCAATTTTGGAACTTGTATAGCATGATATGATTCTGTGAACAATATTTAAAAGTAAACTTACCACTTATCAAACAAGCAAACAGTGATTTAGATATCAGTCTCAGTGATGTCTCTCTGTTATTATAGGACGTGATAACACAATTTTAACTAGACTGGACACGGCTTTGCAATCACCCTGGTTTCAGCATTTCATGGCGCTGTATAGAGAGGTCAGCGGGCAGTCACTCCTATTACTGACCGCTGCTGTGACGCTACTGTGGTCAGGTGTCTCCGGACAAAGCTGCCAGAAGACCGGACCCTGCAGTTGTCAGAATGACCAGGGAACACTGGACTTGACCCCGGTGTCGAACAGCGATGGAACTCCCCGGTCAGTAACTGTGCTTTATCCAGAACATTTTATAGTTTATCTTCAATCAAACATTTTTAAAGATAAACTATCTCCCAGTCTTATGGTATGTAGCCTACCTGTGCTGTGAAAGCGAAAGTGAAGGTAACAGTGACTGACCACAACTTTGACCTAAGATTTTTCTTTTTCTTTTTTTTAATGGGAATGTTGTGTCTGCTTTATAACAAGAATGAAGCAGCTACTGTTTAATATCACTTGTAATTATGTATCATGGATCCGAGTTCTAATTCAGTAGAAAATTACATAATCGCCCTGCATTAAATTGAACCAAAGTCTTGGTCTAACAGTTAGAATTTACCAATAAACAGACGAGTCTAATGTTCTTTTGTAAAACAGGCATATATAGATTAAACTAAAAACTAAAAACGTTATATCCGTCTTTGACTGGGGTAAAAAATTTAAACTGATAAAACCCATTATTATTATTATTATTATTATTATTATTATTATTATTATTATTATTATAAAAAAGAACGCCGGGCGGGACCGTCCCATTTATGGTGTCTTATCTCTCATTCATTCATTCATTCATTCATTGACTCATTCCCAGGTTCAGTTCAGTTGGCACCGATTCGTACACGTACAACTGGAACCCGTGCACAGACTTTGCTGGTAGTGACGGTCCCACCGGAGGCTGTATCAGCGTAGCGGTGAGTATTGGCAGTAAAGAGATTCCAGTCGCCCACTTGTGGGGTTTGGGGGGGGGGGGGGGGGGGGGGG